GGCGGCGGCGGATCAACGCGCGCCGGCGAGGGGGAACTGGCGAAAAGCGCATGGCAGCTCGTGCTGCGACGGGCGGACAACGAAGAATAGCGCCACACAATCAAGGGCGACGCGACTAGTGCGATGCAAAATGTGCGATGCAATCGGATGTGGCAACTAGGATGCCCGAAAGCGAGTCAGTAACTAATAGCCTAATGTGCGATCAGGGATCTGCAAGGTCACGAATCCGATCACAGTCATGAGAAGTAACGAACAAATTCACCTCTGAATGAGAATCTGTACTTTTGGGTCCCCACCCCACGATTCTGCCGCTGCTGTCCGAGTGCTACCCAATCCGTGCCTGACCCGTTGCACTTTTGCTGCGGAATCTACTTACGTAAAGCATTCTACTGTTTCATGCGTGCCACGTGTCAGCTAGCGAGCACGCGATGACGCGTCCTCATGACATCGGGCCTGCAGCGTGCTAACAGTCATGAGAACATGGACCCATGCTGCTGCCGGGATTCCGCCGCAAGAGCCGCCGCATTGCTCGGCGTGCTCCTGCTCCTCTCCTCCGCGCACCCGGCGCGGTCGGAGCGCCTCCTCGGGTCGCTGCTGCGATTCGGACGTGAGTTCGCCGCGACGCGTCTCAAATGGCATACTAATAAAGACACGCCTATTCCTTCGCTCACGCGTCTCCCTCCAGAACCCGATCCGCGCATCGATATCTACGATTCCGAAGCAGATGCGATCGACGGCGCCAGTCTCGACCTGCCACGTGGCCCGCCGGAGCTGTCGGACCCGGAGCTCCGGGTGAGGTTCGGCACCGTAGCACGACGCAAGGAGTCGTGGCTCGGCAGAGCGATGGACATGGACGAGGCGTGGGCGGCGTGGGACAAGGCTGTCGGATGTGCCGCCTTCCGAACCAAGCACGCAGGTTCGGCGTCCGTAAATCCGCGCCCATTGTCCAGCTTTGGGGGGATTCCCGTTGCGCACACCGATTTCGCACGTTCCGACATGTGAACTCCATGCAGGCAGTGATTCGTCTCATGCAGAGCAGCCATTATCTCGTACTGGGCACGAAGTTACCATTCACGCAGCCACCAAGGTGCCATGACTCAGATTACCACTCCCTCGCACGTGTGCTGCTGGCTGGGTGCGCCCCGCTTTGCTTCCACCTCAGATCTCATCGCCCAGTAACCAGAACGACACGTGGCCCCAGAGCAGCAGCTTCCAGGATGCTTCTTCCCTGCCGTGCTCTGCTCTCAAGTTGCCTCATGTCGCCATTCAGGTGCTCTGCCACATGCAATGCATGCATGTATCCTGCCATGTGGAATCTCAAGCTACAAACATTCCACATGAATGTATGCTGTGCAGTGCCCTTCCATGCATCCTCCAGTCCTGCATCCACATGCTTCCAAGGCTCCATTGATTTATACTCCAGATTCTCCCCATCTCATATGCTCTTCCCGTCACACCACATCCATCATTTCGTTGTTCTCCGCTCTGCTCATCTCCATCCATCCCTCCCCAATCCAGGTGGTTTCCTCCCCGTCAATCCCTGATTGGCTAGACGGTCTCTACACCTGCCCCTGCCACCTCTCCTGCTCCTTCTCCGCTCCCCGACCCTCTCCCCCTCCCCACACGCGCTGCTTTTCGAGGCGAATTACCCCGAGATATTCCAAACCACCCGAGCAGCACAGGGGCGGGAGGCAGGCCCCTAGTGTGCAAATGGACATGGAGGGGCATGGGGGCGGGGAAGGGCGGCCAGGGCATAGTGCCGATGGTCGTGGTAGTGGCAGCACTGGCAGCAGCAGTGGTAACAGTAATGGCAGTGATAGGGGCAGCAGGGGCAGCAGGGTTGGGGCGGACGTGATGGTGGGGTATGGAGCGGGTGCGATGTGCAGGTGACGTATGCGGGGCAGCTGGAGCATGCCGATCGCAACCGCCATGTGTCTGGCGTCAAGCGAAAGGTGCGCATGGGGCCATGGCATGGGGCGTGCGTGGCATGGGGCGTGCGTGGCATGGGGCGTGCATGGCATGGGAACACGGTATGGGGTGGCATGACATGGGGCGTATCATGGGATGGCATGGCGTCGCTTTCTCTTGCGGGTTGCACATTTCCCTATGAAGCCTGCTCACGACACATCCTTTGTCTCATAATCTCATCATCCCATCCTCCCATCATCCCAACATCCCATCCTCCCATCATCCTACCATCCCATCCACCCATCATCCCATCCACCCCCCAATCCCTGCGTGTCCCAGTCACCGCCTCTCATCCACGCAGCATCTCGCCCGTCCAGCTGGCGCGAGCGCATTGGAGCACTGATGAGGCGCATGGCGCACAGCATAGGCAGCCGCAGCAACAACATGAAGGAGGAGGCAGACGTGCTGGACACCTATAGCATGTGCCAGTACGTCCTGTATGCCCTCAGCATGTGCCTGTATGGGTTCCGATTAGAGGGCTGTGTAGTGTGTGACATGCAGTGCACAGCACTGGCAGTTGCACCAGCAACAACATGCGGGAGGAGGAGGCACCTACAGCATGTGCCAGTACGTGCCGTGCTTTGCACACCTACAGCATGCCTTCTGTGTAGCATGCGGCACAAAGCAGCAGTTTGTGTTTCACTAGCTGTGCTGCCTTCGCGCTCCCTGTACGTGCTGTGTGCAATTAGTGTACTTTCTCCTCCCATTTCGAGTCGAATCCAAGGCCACCTCGCTTGCCGTGTTCAGATATTTCGGGGCACATGGTCAGAGGGCGAACCTGGATGGGCACGCGCGCAACAAGACGGGCCAAGGTGGGAGCACGGGCACGCGCGAGGGTGAGTCTGCAGCAGCAGCAGCAGGACAGAGAGGGAGGGGGAAGGGAGCATCGGGAGGAGAGGCAGGAGGGGATGGGGGAGGAGGAGGAGGAGGAGGAGGAGGAGGAGGAGGAGGAGGAGGAGGAGGAGGAGGAGGAGGAGGAGGAGGAGGAGGAGGAGGTGGTGGTGATGACAATGGTGGTAAGGAGGCAGCAGAGGAGGCTCGGCAGGAAGCTGAGATTGCAAGGAGGCCCATGAGAGGAATTCGCACAGGAGGGGGGGGAGTGTGGGGGAGGAGTGAGGAGAGCTGGGAGGAGGAGGAGGATGCAGGGGTGGGGGATGCGGGGCGGGGGGGCACAAGGACTGGTGGGACCACTTACACTGCGTACAGTCACACTACCTGTTCAACCTCGTTATAGAGTCACGCGAGGAGCGCGGCTTCGTGACTGAGAAATTCTTCCATGCGTTAGAAGCAGGTGAGATGAGGATAGTGGAAACCTGCTGGCGAATTTCACACACATGACATGTATGCACATGCACGCACACGGCGCATGCATTGTGCATGTCCAGTGAAACGTGCTCCCGGTCGCTGGATTCATAGTCAATATGCTCTCTAATCATTCTCGCCGCTTCATCGTATCTACCCCTTCAGTTCCCATGAACCTCACCACTCCCCCCCACTCCTCCCCTTCCCCCAACCCCCCCTGCAGGTACAGTGCCGGTGTACTATGGGGCGCCGGACATAGACAGCTTTGCCCCTCCAGATTCGTTCCTGAACGCCGATTCAATGCATCGGGACGAACTGCGGCACACCATAGTGGCGGCTGCCGAGGACCCCGTCAAATACGCCAACTTCCACGCCTGGCGCAGGTACCGTACCGACATACCCTTCAATCCATTATATACATGTTATCCCATCGTCTTGAAGCTCTGTTTTGCATCTTGAGACCTCACAACAGCCGCTTTCTCTGCTCCATTGTTTTCTTTCCGTGCAGATGTGGAGTGCTGGGTCACTACCAACGTGTGCTTAGACTCAGTATTGACTCCTTTCCTTGCAGATTGTGTGCGTATATAAGCAGTAGAACTAGAAATATCTCTTAACAATATGAAATATTTTCTGTAGTGCTAACAGCGAGGACGTCAGCCCATCCAAGTGCCCTCGAAATCATCCTCTCTCCGCACACTGGAAACACCACCACCACCTTCTCCCTTCCCATTGCCCTTCAGCCTTTTAGGACGTGGTACACTTGGTGAAATTCTATGGTAGGCTCGAGCCTGAGCTCAATGTCCAGGTGAATGATACTCTGGAAAATACATCGAGCCTGGCTCGAGCCTCTTGTTTGTGTTTGCGAAGTCTGACTAGCGATAGGGAATCCTGAAGTGGCATATACAAAACATGGTTACCCTCGTTTCCAATTTTTGTTGAAGCACGCGCTACAGTGGGAATGACGAGTGGAAGACGACACACATTCGCGAAGCGAACTCGTATCCAAGGCTCGAGCCCCACGCTCGAGCGGGAAGCTCAATTCCAAATTTGGGAAGCCCAATTTCCGTATGGGAATTCGGGTTACCCGAAACCTCCAATGTGGGCTCGAGCCTCGAGCATCGATTGTGAGCCCAATGTACCACGGCCGTATTCATGTCACTTGCCGTTTCACTAGTCGCTGCCGTATTCATTTCACAAGCACACCTCATCTTAGACCAGCCTGATTTCGCTGCCGTACCCCATCTTACTGTGCTAGTTGTTAGCGTGCATTCTCAACGTAACTTGGCATTCTCAACGAACTTAGCATCCTCAACGAACTTAGCATTCTCAACGAACTAAGCTAGTTGTTAGCGTCACCTTTGCGCGCTTAGTGAACTCCCCGTGATCAACTCTTCCGCTGTCCCGCCGCCGACTCCGCTTATCTGCCCGCCATGCGTGACTCGTCGCGAGCGGCGCACGCGCACGCGCACGCGTACACATCCCCGCTCGAAACCCTAGAGTCCTCCATAGCCGTCCTCGGCGGGTGGCATGGGCAACCCGCGCAGCACTCTGCTTCCTCCTCCGCCTCCTCAATCCCGCGCTCGTCCTCCTCCGGCGGCGCGGGGGACCGCCATATGGGACGCGTCGGTCGTCGACGTGCGCGCGTATCTCGAAGCCGTCGAGCGCCTCTTCGATCTCATCGACGCCGCCAACATGCCCGGCGTGCCGCCCGGGATGGCCTTCGTGCGCGAGTCGGCGAAGGCGATGCTGAACAACGTCGTGCCGCGGCTCGAGGAGGGCTTTTCTGCACGTGCTGCTCGCTGAGAGCCACCCCGTGCCGCCCGATCGGGTACGTCTTTACCTTGCCGTGATTTTCTGATACGTCTTTAAACTCGGGTACGTCTTTACCTTGTTGTGACGCCTGGGTACGCAGGACAGACGCGTTACTGAAATACAAGAGCCATTGCCCGTACAGGTTCATTATCTTTTACACCAGTTATATTCTTTTCCCATTTTTTCAACCGCGTATCTCAGTGCTCTCCCCTCCTTCCCCGCCGTCCGCGCGCCCTTCCCCCACCGCCCGCAGGTCAACGAGGCCGCCAAGCGCGTATCCAAGCCCCCGCGCTCCTCCGCGCCGCTCTCCCCCTCCGCGGCCGCCACCCCCGTCGCGTCCTCTTCCCCCTCCTCCTCCCCCTCGTCCGCGTCCCTCGCGGTCTCCGCGCTCGACCGCGCGCCCTCCTTCCTCCCCGAGCCCGCCGTGTGGCGCCTCCACGCCATTGCGCGCGTGGCTGCACGCGCGGGGCTCTCCCCCTCGCTCAGGCGGAACTACCGCACCGTGCGCAAGGTAGGGCGAGTCGGAATGAGCAAAGCGGGCGTGAGGTAGGCCGAGGGGAGAATAACAGGTTGGGAGCGAGCGAGGGAAGAGTGGGAGCAGTGGGAAGAGTGGGAGCAGCGAGGGAAGAGTGGGAGCTGTTTCTTCAGCATCAGGGTTTGACTCAAATCACAAGTTTTTCCAACCTCTTTCTTCGCCCGTCTCTCTCCTACCCCTTCATCCCTCACTCTCCCCCGTTCTCTCTCCTCCCCCGTCTCTCTCCTCCTCTCCATCCCTCCCACCCACAGGCGGTGCTAGAGGAATCCCTGAAGCAGCTGGCAGCAGGGCGGTTTGACCCTCGGCTGGTGCCGACGCTCGAGTGGGAGGAGCCAGCTGGCAACGCGTATAGACCTGTGGAAGGCGTACGCGCGGCAGCTATGCGTGTGCCTTCTGTCAACCCATAATTTCCGCTCCTCCCCTTCCCCCCTCCCTGGCTCCCTCCCTCCCTCCCACCCTCCCTCCCTCCCTCCCTCCCTCCCTCCCTCCCTCCCTCCCTCCATCCCTCCCACCCACAGGCGGTGCTAGAGGAATCCCTGAAGCAGCTGGCAGCGGGTCGCTTCGACCCTCGGCTGGTGCCGACACTCGACTGGGATGAGCTGGCAGCGCGGGTGGACCTGTGGAAGGCGTATGCGCGAAGGGGCGTGCGCGTGCTGCTCGCCGCTGAGAGGAAGCTCTGTGAACGGGTCTTTGACACCGTCGAGGTGGGTTGGATGGGTGGAGGTGGGTTGGATGCGGTGGAGGTGGTTCGCTGTGTGGTTATTTATCCCTCGCGATCTGTGCTCTCCAGAGACAGTGACGGACGAGCTATGCTTGTTAGCTCTCGTCCTCTATCCCCTCTCATGTTCGCCTGCTGCTTCTTCCACTTCCCTCCCCCATTCTCCCCCCATACCCTGCCCCCTCCCGTTCCCACCTCCCCTTGAACAGCGGCGAGCTGTGTGTCGCGGAGACAGTGAAAGGCAGGACAGCGAGAATGATTGCTTGCCCTTGTTTTCAATCTCTTGCTCTCTCCATCGCCCCCCATCTGCCCCTTTTGCAGGACAGCGAGCAGTGCTTTGCGGAGACGGCAAAGGGCAGCATGGGGCGGCTGTTTGACTTCGTGGAGGCCTTTGCGGCGGGGCACAAGGCGCCTGAGCGCCTCTTCGCCATGCTCGACATCTACGAGACGCTGCAGGAGCTGCAGCCGGATTTCAACGCGGTTGTGTGCGGTACGGCACTAGGACTAGCCATGTGGTTCAGTCTGGTTACCATGTGTTGGTAGATTGGATTTTCTGTCTGTGCTCTCCCAACAGCAACCCCCTTTTTCTGTCGCTTCGCCCCCCATTCCACCTTCTCCAGGCAATGGGCCGTGTTGCAGTGTGCGCAACGAGCTGTCAGTGGTGCTGAGCTATGTGGGCGTTACCGTGAGAGGCATCCTCGCTGACTTCAAGACATCTCAGAACCTGAACCCCCACTCCCCCTCCCCCGCCTTTTCCTCCCTCCCCCTCTCCTTACACCCCCTCCCTCCGCCAATCCCTACAGGCAACGGCGCGTGCCGGAGCGTGCGAAACGAGCTATCGGTCGTGCTGAGCTACGTGGGCGTGGCAGTGAGAGGCATTCTCGCTGACTTCGAGCGAAACATAGAGCAGGAGGACAGCCGGCCCCCTCCCGCCGGCTCCGTGCACGGGCTCACCAGCTACGTTGTCAACTACCTGGGCTTGCTCTTTGAATACAGTGACACTATTAATAAGCTGTATAGCAGCAGTGGGAACGCGGTGGGTGGTGCCGGTGCCGAAGCTGCTTCGGCTGAGGTCGGACGAGGAGGAGGAGGAGGAGTTTGAGGAGGAGGAGGTGCAGGGGGAGGAGGAGGGGGAGGAGGGCGGAGTGGTGGGGGAGGATGGGAAGCGGTACTGGGGGGAGCCGCAGGAGGAGTATCGGGAGGTGGGACGGAAGATTCGGGGGATTCTCAAGGTGTTGGAGGCGAAGCTTCTGGGGAAGGCGCTGACGTACCGGGATGCAGGGCTGGCGCATTTTTTCATGATGAACAACGTGCAGTACATCGCACGCAAGGTAAAGAGACGGCTTTTGAGACGCCTGACAGGTGAAGAACGTGCAGCAGTGCATTGTAGGGCATTGCAGATAAGCTGGGAGTCTGGGAGAGTAGGGTGCACACACGGTGAAGAGCTGTGAGCTGTCCCATGCTGATGGGGCCGGCTGGATCAGGTCAGACGTGACTCTGAAGTCATCTCATGCCTCTGCTCCATTCTCTCCCCCCTCCCCATCACACACACACAATACAGGTGAAGGGGTGTGAGCTGCGCATGCTGGTGGGGGACGACTGGATCAGGGACCGGGCAGACACAGTGCAGCAGCAGGCAAGCGACCACATCAGGGTGGCCTGTGTATTCCTAAAGTCAGACGTCTCTCTTTCATCCTCTCCTCTCCTCCTGTACTGCGCAGGTGAAGGGGTGTGAGCTGCGCATGCTGGTGGGGGACGACTGGATCAGGTCGGATTGGGACATGACGCTTCAGTCAACTCATCCCTCTTTTCTCCTTTATTTCCTCCTGCCTTCCCATCACACACACACAATACAGGTGAAAGGCTGTGAGCTGCGCATGCTGGTGGGGGACGACTGGATCAGGGACCGGGCAGACACGGCACAGCAGCAGGCGAACGAGTACCTGAAAGTGGCGTGGAACCGCGTGGTGGCACCGCTCAGAGAGGTTCCCACCACCTCCTTCCTCAACCCCAAGGGCTCCCTCAAGGTAATCCCAAGGCTTTCTTATAATAATCCCAATGGTTCCCTCAAGGTACTCCCAAGGGCTTGCTTGGGGTGGTTGCATTTGGCTTACTGCATGCATTCTTCATCCTGTATACGCCCTGCTTGCATGCTCACTAATAAAATTTGTCTCACTGTTTTGTTCAATGCTGTTGCTCGTGATTGCAACTTGCAGGAAATATTCAAGCAATTCTCGGCATTGTTTGAAGAGGCGTGCAGGGTTCAGCGAACTTGGATGGTCAACCCTGGCCCTCTGCAACAGGAGCTACACCAGGCAGTGCGGTACAGGGTGCTATCACTGTACACCCTATTTTACAAAACACACGGTGCCACTCTGCGGCATCAAGCCAAACATATAAGGCACACGCCGCAACAGGTGAACGAGCAGATAGGGAGCCTATTTGAAGGGCATCAAGGGTGAGATTCTGTAGTGATACCGTGTCTGTATGTACCTGTATCTAACATAGTGGCATTCTAACTTATCGTAGCGTGTGTATCCAGTCTGCAAAAGGCCAGTCACACCCATAATCCAGATTCACACGAGCTGCATAATGGCTCATAGCTGCAACTACTACCAGGAAAGGTGTTGGTTCCATCCTAGTGCAGAATCGTTATCATGATTATCATTCCTAGACCTGTTGTGCAGCTAAAGCAAAGCTGCTACACGCATTTGCTACGGTACATTGCATATTCCACAACACACGCAAATGCCAAGTCGCCGCTCGATTCAGCCATCACCACCACCGCCTGACTCCACCATTCGCAAACTGGATTCTTCGCGCTTTTCTTTGGTGTTCGGCCAGGCACAGAACAGCAGGCAGTCTATCGAGGCCATGCCTTTTTCGGTGACTAGAATTATCCCTTTGACGTCAGCCGGCTTGTGTCTAAGTCCCGTGTAGGTAGTTCCGCCTACGAGCATTGTGGCATGGTTGTCAGGGAGAGATCCAATGGCTACCGTGGCTCATCTGGCACCTCTCGTTCCCCGCAGCCATCGCACCATCAGCACCGCGCGAAACGTCATCACGTGCCTTCTCCTCGTAAACAGCGTCATCGCCATTCTCTTCTTCAACCTCCTTCCTCAAATCCCCGTGCGGTTACTTTGCACGACGACTGACTTGAGAACAGACGAACTCTCCTTTCTCGCTTCGCGAAACGAGATACATGAATCGAATTCCTTGGATTTCTCAGAGGGAGGACGCGTGCCGAGCGAGGTAGAGGAGGAAAGTGGTGGATCGGCATTCCCTGAGGCAGAAGCAGTCGACGCATTCATGAACCCGCAGCTCTTCTCTCTGGAAGAGCTCGCACGCCGCGAGGTGCTTACGACAGCTCGCAGCGACATGCTGCGACGCATCGACGACGAGTTGCGACGCGACGACTCGGGAAAAACGTGCTCGCAGAAGGTCGCGTTTGTCGCATGGGCTGACGGAAACCGTGCGACTCTAGTCAGAGGGAATACCTCCATTGCTCGCGAAGCAGACCCGCTGATGGCTAACGAGACTCGGTCAGTCCCTGTTGCGCCAGTGGATCTGCCTGCAAAGCGTGAGTTTCTCTTAGAGGTTCGGGCCGCTATCGCCGCCATGACCAATGTGAACCAATCCGAGCTTGACGCGCTTCAGATGAAGCTTCTAGACTTCGAAAGGCAGAAGAAGCAGCGAGAATCAAATGCATTTTTCAACGCATGGCGTCGCGCAAACCCCCAGGTGACATGGCCGCCACTGAATTCGCTTTCCTCTGGCCTCGCGAAAAAGAATGAGTTGCCTCCTCGCACTCCGCGGAAACCAAGCCGGGACGTGCGCAAGCTGTTCCGGCGGAGTGACGATTCCGCAGCCAATGAGCGAAGAGCAGAGGACGCGCAAGACAGTAGCAAGGCGCGGCTTGGGGACGATGAGATCGTGATGGTGCTGCTGGTTCACAACCGGCCGGCGTATCTCAGACGGACGCTCGCAGCCATGCGACGCGTGGAGGGCATTCGAGATGTGCTGCTCATTGTAAGGTGAGTGCAGGTGCTCATTGTAAGGTGAGTGCAGTAGCTGCTCATTGTAAGGTGAGTGCAGGTGCTCATTGTAAGGTGAGTGCAGGTGCTCATTGTAAGGTGAGTGCAGCTGCTCATTGTAAGGTGAGTGCAGGTGCTCATTGTAAGGTGAGTGCAGGTGCTCATTGTAAGGTGAGTGCAGTTGCTCGTTGTAAGGTGAGTGCAGGTGCTCATTGTAAGGTGAGTGCAGGTGCTCATTGTAAGGTGAGTGCAGGTGGTCATTGTAAGGAGAGTGCAGGTGCTCATTGTAAGGTGAGTGCAGGTGCTCATTGTAAGGTGAGTGCAGCTGCTCGTTGTAAGGTGAGTGCAGGTGCTCATTGTAAGGTGAGTGCAGGTGCTCATTGTAAGGTGAGTGCAGCAGGTGCTCATTGTAAGGTGAGTGCGAGTCGTTTCTTCAAAAGAAACTTTTTAATTCCTGAGCATGCTGCTTCTGTCTTTGTCACATGGATTTCCCACCACTTGTTGTGCCATTCCATTATAGCCTCATCTCACATGCATTATCTCCTTCCCACATGCTCATCTCTCTGTCATGCAGTCATGATGGGTACTACCCCAAGATGGACGCCATGGTGAGGGCGATTGACTTCTGCCCCGTGAAGCAGATCTACTTCCCCTTCTCCCCTCACCTCTTCAACCGCACCTTCCCTGCAGCTTCCCCAGACGACTGCCAAGGCCGGCTGCCTAGGAGTGAGGCCGCCTGGGGGGAAGCAGAAGGTGACGAAGGGGGTGGTGGAGGAGGAGGAGAGGGACCGGAGGAAGGGAAGGAGTGGGTTGGCAATTGCAGTGGACAGGTGGATCAGTTTGGAAGGTTCAGGGACCCTCGGATAATATCTCTCAAGGTGAGATTGGTCACCACATTTTTCTGCTTTGACACTGTATTTGATGTTACCTGCTTCCTCATCAGGCTCTCTCTCCCTCGTTTGCCCCCCACTCCCTTCCCCATTGCAGCACCACTGGTGGTGGGCGATGAACGCGGTGTGGGGGGGCGTGGCGGAGACGCGGGGGTATGGAGGGCACGTGGTGTGGGTGGAGGAGGACCATATGCTCTTCCCCAACGCCCTGCGCCACCTGCAAGTGCTCCTCCACGCCAAGCACGCGAACTGCCCCCACTGCATCGCCGCCAACCTCGCGCCCTCCGATGTGCATGAGTGGCAGGACAGTGGGCCTCGGACTTTCTCTGTGGAGACCATGGGGAACATTGGGTACTGCTTTAACCGCACTGTGTGGGATTTGATTCACAAACAAGCAGAGGTATGCATTATATTTTTACTCTTTTCTACAATCCTTCATGCACATTCCGTTCCTTGTTGCTGGTGCTAGTTCAAACGCGGCATCTCTATTTGTGTGCACACAACTCGCAGGCATTCTGCTTCTTTGACGACTACAATTGGGATATTACAATGTGCAAGACACTTTGGCAATTGTGGATTTCACTCAGGGAGGGAGCGGAAGACCAACAGCTGCGATAAGAACAAATCTTGGTGGAACCATAATGATGATGGTGAGGAGGTCGTGATTACAACTGAAGATACAAGGATGTCCATAAATGGTTCAGCTCCGTTGATTCCTAGGAGTTTCAAAATCACACCTAGCTCTTTTAGAAGTTAGGGTGGATGGGGTGATGGGCGTGATATAGAGTTATGCATTTACATATCCAAGATGTACAGCTCTTGAAAGTTACATGTGAGTCGTTTTATCCGAAGCACATTCTGCATGTCATGGATGATAAGAAAATGCGCATATCGGCGACTCTCAAGAACCTTCTTTTCGAAAGGCCGATCATCACGCCTCTGTTCGCGCGTTTCGCCACCACGCGGGAATGTATACGTCCCGAAATTAGTCGCGATCAATTTTCTCTACGCCGTCGGATTGAGGAAACACGAGTCGCTCCATCCCGTCACATCGCATTCAACGGCGAACTGCGCGTTTCACAGAAAACGAGCAGAGCAGTCGCAAATTTCAGACAGGACGGCGAGGCGAGGCAGTAACTCCAGCGGCCTGCCCTGTCGCCAGTCTCTGCGATGCAGCCATTATCACTCTCCACTCTTCTCCATCCCTCTTCACTCCGCGACCTGTTTCACTTTTCTTCGAACAGTCACTCCCGGTCGATGTCCCTGCTGCTGCTCTTGCTGCTCGCTGCCGTCACACCGCAGAAACAAAACCACTGACGTTGGAGCCTGGCCACCGAACAAGCATCACGTCAACGTATAGCAGACGCGAGCCAATTAATATTCTACGGAACGCCTTTTGTAGGAGACTTGGACTTACTAGAAAGCTCCGACAGCTCGTGCGCTGATTGCAGCGCATCCTCTCGCTACTCATGTCGTTCCTTGCGCGCCTTATTCCCAGCCAACTCGGCTCGCTTCGTACGGCAGCTCTCGCTAGGCCTTTAATTGCGGTTCATCCTTCCGTTAACGCGCAAAGCCTGGGCGGACTCATCTCTCCGCGGCACTACCGGCGCTATGTCTCCCCCGCATGTACCTCCTCGTGTCTCCTCCTGCTGCTCCTCGCGCAAGCGCTCCTCGTGCTCGCTCTCTTCCATGCCGCGTCGCCCTCTGGGGGATTTTCGCCCGTGTCTCTTCTCCCGGCTCGCCTCCTCCCGCGAGCCTGGGCCCCCCCTGCGACGAACGAAGTGGTTGTCGCAAAGGACTCTGACTCTGGCGACCAGACTGGCGACACTAACGAGGATACGAGCGATGATGCGGGCGACGTACTACGCGAGAGTGTAGACGAATGGCTGAGACGATGCGATTTGTTGCGAATAATCAACCAGCAGCTAGCGAAGCTGCGAACTCGCTGGTGGTTCGCGCGCGTGCCGCGGCTAATATGGCCCTGGTTTCGCTACTCCGCTTCGAAACTAGGGATAGAGCTGGCAGAATCTGATGACGTGGCGATAGAAGATGGCACGTGGCTCGTTTCTAGTAGACGCGAACCTGCCGGGGCCCTCAACCAGGAGCTGTTCCGAAGTGGATTCGCGGCGCTGAACGCCGCATCTCGCGGAGGTTCAACGATCCGCGCCGCGACGGAAGACCACAATCGCGCCGACTTGGAAATGGAGAAAAATCTGAAGTCCATGCGGGATGAGGTGGAGCACATGGATTTGAAGACGGAGGAGAATTACGATCGCGCGGGAGCTAGACTGCTCGACCTTTTTAACGGAAGGAAGGAACGCGAAGCCCAATCGTTCTTCGACATGTGGCGTCGCATGAACCCGCACGAGCCGTGGCCGCCTTCCTCGCCGCTCTCTCGGCGGCTCGAGGAGTGGAATCGCCAGCCGGCGAGAGCGCCTTTGACGGCGGGAAACGCGGAGAAGAGCGGCGGCGGGATGGGGCTGCTGGCGAAGCTACGCGCACAAGTGCGGCGAAGCGCGAAGGGGAAACGGGCTAGCAGTAGCATTGCTATTACTGGCAGCAGTAGTGATAGCAACACTAATGTTACTGGAACGCGAGGTCCGTGGAAGAAGCGGTTAAGCGACTCAGATGTGGTGATGGTGCTGCTGGTGCACAACCGCCCCGCGTACCTGCGACGCACGCTGGAGGCGCTGAGCAAAGTGGAAGGCATCGAAGACACGCTGCTCATCGTCAGGTGCGTCTATGTCTAGTCGACTCGCAATGCCGCCATTCTCCGCATCAAACCGGTTACTGTGCTCAGGCTTGTGCATGTCGTTCCCACGTTCAACGTGGGAAGTTGAAGTTCATAAAGTTATGAAGTTCATAAACACTCGACCTTCCCCTTCCCCTCAAATCCCCCCCCCCCCTCCCAACCTTCCCCCGCCCCGCCTCCTTTTCCCCGCGCAGCCACGACGGGTACTACCCCGAGATGCACGCGCTGGTGCGCGGAATCACGTTCTGCGCGGTCAAGCAGCTCTACTTCCCGCTCTCCCCGCACCTCTTCAACGCCTCCTTCCCCGCCGCCTCCCCCGCCGACTGCCGGGGGAGAGCGCAAGGCGCCTCAGGGGTGCGCGGGGAGGGCGCGCGAGGGGGGGAGTGCACGGGTCAGGCAGACCAATACGGGTCGTTCAGAGACCCGGGGAGGCTGTCTCTTAAGGTGAGGGGGCTCTGATTGGCTGCTGTATGCGTACTCACTCTGGGTCCACTCCCCTCGCACATCTCCCTCATCCTTGTACTCTTTCTACCGCCTTCCCCCATGCCATGTGCACCACTCCCACTCCGCCTCCCCTACTGCATCCTGACTTTGTTGTACTTGTTTCGTTACACTCTCTCTCCCTCGCTGTCCACGTGTGCCGCTCCCCCGCCCTCCCCTCTTCCCCCCATTGCAGCACCACTGGTGGTGGGCGATGAACGCGGTGTGGGGGGGCGTGGAGGAGACGCGGGGGTATGGAGGGCACGTGGTGTGGGTGGAGGAGGACCATCTGCTCTTCCCCAACGCCCTGCGCCACCTGCAAGCGCTCCTCCTAGCCAAGCACGCGCGCTGCCCCCACTGCATCGCCGCCAACCTCGCCCCCTCCGATGTGCACTCGATACAGGACGACGAGCCAGGGGAGCTGGCAGCGGAGCGCATGGGCAATGTGGGGTATGCGTTTAACCGCAGCGTGTGGGAGCTCATTCACGCACAGGCCAAGGTGAGACGGAGCCCTGATCGTAAGTCCAAGTCGCTTGTTTGTTCTCAGTCACAATTCTCTCTCAGTTTGTTCTGCTATTGACCCCTGATTCTTCTCTGCCAGTCACTCTATCCCTGCTAACCACCCACCCCATTTCTGGCGCTCACCCACCCTATCCCTGCCAACCGCCCAACCCCTCGTTCCCCCAGCCGTTCTGCCTGTACGACGACTACAACTGGGACCTGACCCTCTGGTCCTCCGTGCTGCGCCGCCTGCCCTCCTCCTGGTCGCTGCGCTGGTCCCGCGCCAGCGCGCACCACGTGGGGTCCTGCGGGCTGCACTCCGGGCAGGGGGACTCGCAGGGCAAGAGTAACACTAGTGCAGCTGCTGCTGTGACGGGGAGTGGTGGGGGAGGGAGCGAGACGGATGGGAAGGAGGGGAAGGAGGGGAAGAGTGTGGGGTGTAGTACAGGAGAGGAAGGGATAGAGAAGGTGCAGTTGTTGGATGAGGACCATTGGATGATGGTGAATGCCTCGGCTCCCATTGTGGAACGAGAGGAGGAGAAGTGGTGGATGATGTTCCAGGGATGGGGGGGATGGGGAGATGGAAGGGACATCCAGCTGTGCATGCACATAGCACACATGTATAGAGACAGGGCTACCGTGTAGTAATGAGACCACACTCACAATGGTAAGCCATGTATAGTTAGAACGTAGAGACTAATGTATAGTATTTTCTGAATTATCTAGGTTGAAGGCAAAAGAGAGCCAACGAATGCGATTCATACAGCTTTCTTCCATGCTGGACGTTGAAGGTAGAGTGGTGTGCATCACTTTCTTGATGTATGATTGGCGCTTATTCAAATCCTATTGAGGTGTATTTCCGAAACTTTTTGGGCTCTAATTTGTGCTCTTTCTCTTTGTGCTCGAATTTCCGAAACTTTTTGGGCTTCAGGTGAAGCGCACGAGCACATGGAACTTCGGAGCTCTTTGGTGTGAAATTCCCAAGGCTCTCCTGACTGCTCGGACTTTCACAAGCACACAAGCGATGGTACCTTTCGTTTGCAGTTCATTGTTGTCGAACACACCATTCTTCGCCACGCTTCTGCTATCGCTCCTCGTCGCCAGCGCGACATTCGATAAAATCACCGTCACTGATGGCGCCGATAGAGTCACGATTCGTGACGGTGGAACCCCGAATTCACGAAGCGCAGTTGTCACGCCGCGGCCAGGAGCGGCGCGTCGCGCGGTACTAGAGGACGAAGCAGCGCGAGAGAGGTCACTGCGGCTGTTTATCGTGGAAGAGGCGAAGAAGCATGGCGCGGGTGAGGAGTGGGAGTAAGGTGTAGTCCGCGTGATCCGTTGTAGTGTCTGTTATGGGACGGCGTGAGCCGTGGAGGGGGCTTGGAGCGGAGGAATTGATGCAGTTATTGCACTTGGCTTATGAACGACTGTGCTTCGTCCCTCTCCCTGGTCCAGCATTCAGGACGCTGAAGCATTCAAATGCAACGCTGTAGCAACCAGAAGTCTATCGCATTCAGAATGACTGTTCATTTCAGAAGACGTGTGCTTTCGTTCGCAGTCGTCCGTACCCATGACACCACATCTCACGTCCAATACCACTCGTGCTCATGGTGAACATTTTGCCGTTCCGTCTCACCCGTCCCCCGACCACGTGGCACTGGCAGTGTGTCTGGACGGGTCCGCGCCAGGCTTCTACTACCGGCGAGGCCATGGCAGCGGCGCTAACAAATGGCTGCTCAACTTCCGGGTGAGATGTATAAGCGTGCACACATGTGGACATGCAGACATGTGTATCCACTCCCCTGAGATCCTCCCTTTCTCATTCATACCTCACTTCCACCTCCACCTAAGTCCCCCCACCCCCCCTTCCCCCGCTTTCGCCCCACCTCCCTACGGGCCAACCCCCCGTGCTTCCCCCCCGGTGCAATCGGGAGCATGGTGCACGTCCCTGTGCGACAGCTACAACCGCAGCGCATCGCTGTGGGTCAAGCATTGAGTCGACTCGAAACCCCTCCCCCTTTTCCCCCCTCCGTGCTCCCCACTCTGCAGTCGGGCGCATGGTGCACGACCCCGTGGGATTGCTACAACCTCAGCTCGTCGCTGTGGGGCAGCTCAACTGATGTGCTGCTCATGCCCGATTTTCTTCCTGTATCACCTCCCACGTATCCTCCCCTCTCTGTGTTCCCTGCTGCCACCCCCCATCTCCCCACCGCTTCCCCCTGGTCCCCGCTTCCCCACAACCTGCCCCCTCTCCCTCCCTGTCCCCCGCTCTGTGCAGTCGGGAGCGTGGTGCACGTCCCCCTGGGACTGCTACAACCGCAGCTCGTCGCTGTGGGGCAGCTCCAAGCACTTCCCTGACGTGCTGCCCACACCCGGCATTCTCAGCGCCCAGGGCGATGTCAACCCGGGTGAGTTGAGAGTAGAACAGTACCATATCATGTGATTTGGGGTAGGCCGATCCGAGCCGTGCCCGCTCCTTCCTGTGGGGCAGCTCCCATCGCCTTCCAAACGTGCTGCCTGCCGACAGCAAGCATGCTCAGAGAAAATAGGCATGCTAGCCTGGTTAGCATCCCTGCGGCTATTTTTGCTGATGATTTATTTTTAGCAAGCCCTGTGCCTTTTCCACCACTCCATGGAGCCTTCCTGCAGACCTGTACGACTGGAATCTGGTCATCTTCCCTTACTGCGATGGGGCGTCCTTCTCTGGTGACAGGCAGGACCCTCTGGTCTTTGAGGTGAGATGCACACGGACGTGGCCCTTGCAGGTCGTGAGGTGCACACAACATTAAGTGCTCTCTCAGAATAGGCGAATAGCAGTGTTGTGCATTGAGTCTGACAGCCTGCCCTGCAGTGCATGACATTATGCTATGGTTTCATGCCATAACTTCATGCCATGTGGTCGGACCCTGCATCCCTGCAGACGCAGCCCTTGCGTACGACGTGGCTGTGATAGAAATTTATGGTCCGGGAGTGTTTGTTAATGCAGAGATATTGGAGGACGAAAAAGAGGAAGATGAAGCAGATGGGAACAGAAATGAAGAGGAACTCAGCACAAGCTCCCTTCTCTCCTCTTTTTCTTTGCTGTTAATTGATTCTAGTGGAGAGCAGTAGGTCCATGGGGAGGTGGAAAGGGAGATGGTGGTGGTGGAAGAGGATGTGGAGGATAAAGAGGCACCACACCTTCTACCACCCCTTTATCCTCCACCTCCTCTTCCACCACCACCATCTCCCTTTCCACCTCCCCATAGACCTCCTGCTCTTCACTAGAGCTAATGGGCAGCAAAGTAAAAGAGGAGAGAAGGGAGCTTGTGTCGCTGCGTTCCTCTTCATTTCTGTTCCCTTCTGCTTCATCTTCCTCTTTTTCGTTCTCCAGTATCTCTGCATTAACAAACACTCCCGGACCATAAATTTCTACCCACTTCTGTCGACCCATATACTCACATCCTTCACCCCCCTCGCACATCCCCCCCTTCCTCCCCTCCCCTCTCCCCAGGGAGTGCCGCTCTTCTCTCGCGGGCGGCCCATCCTCGACTTCCTCCTCGCACACCTCACAGCAAGATTCCACATGGGCACTGCACAGCGGGTGAGGGGTGAGGGCAGAGCGGGTGAGCGGAGGGCAGGGCAGACACGGTTTGCAGAGGGCAGTGCAGAGCGGGTTTGCAGTGGAGTGCTGTGGAAGCTGAGGGCAGCAGGAGCTGGCGTCGTTGCAACAAGCCCCAGTCACTCCCAATACCTATGCTTCCACTCCACCCACATCACAGCTCGCACTCCCCCGCTTCGCTTCATTTGTGCCCTGCGCCAATCCCAACCACCTGTGCCTGCCTGCCGCCCAAGTCTGTCCGTCATCGGGTTCTTTCGTAACTTCCCATCCCCCTGGCCGCGCCAGGTGCTTATATCGGGGTGTTCAGCGGGCGCCCTGGTGGTGTACCTACACTGCGACTACATCCGCCACGCTCACATGCCCCCCTCTGCATCCGTGCAGTGCCTTGCAGACTCGGGCCTCTTCCTTGACATGTGAGCCGCTTCCCTCACTTCCTCCCCCCCCTCCCCGCACACACACATTCCCACGCTGTTTGACGCTCCTCAAAACTTTTGAGGCGCTTCAAGAGCCTTGCAGACCCGGGCCTCTTGACCTGTGAGACACTTCCTCCACATCCACACACACACCCATTGCCTCGCCCGTACGTCGCTCTTGGCTGATACGCCTTCAGCCTTCTCATGTCCATTATCTGGCGCGTAACATGCCTCTGTTCTCTCACCCCCACCCCGCTGCTGTCCCTTCTTCTGTCACAGTCCAGACATCAGTGGCAGCAGGGCGGCTCAGACGCTCTTCCGATCCGTGCTCACCATCCATGTGCGTGTGCTCTTCAACCCTCTCTCATTCCGTGGCATAGTGCACGCTTGTCATCACATGTGCAAGCAACCACATCACAGTGCGTGCCTGTCTGCCATCCTGGGTATCCGTAAGCCATCATAGCCTCACCATGCCTCGCTATGCTTCTGGGCTGCATATGTGGCAGAATGTGACTGGAAGTCTTCCCGCTTCCTGCGTCTCCTCTCGTCCACCTGAAGACCACTATCAGGTGCGCTCTGTTTCTAACATCTGTGCTACTAACAGCAGTGGTGGCGCTGCGTATACGACTCTAGGGCTCTGCCTTCTGTCACATGTGCTGTGATATGTGGACTTTTGAGACGTCTCAAAGGACTTTTTGCGACAGCCATACGCATGCCCCACCCTGTGCCTGTGCTGTGTGGCAGTGTTTCATGTCAGCACAGCTACTGCCCCTCCTCAAGACGCCCACGTTCATCATCAACAGCAACTACGACCTCTGGCTCGTACGCTGCTCCCCCAAACCTGCAATGCCCCGGTCTTTTTAACTGTGCCATGTGCATCAACTCTCATGCATTCTTGAGGTGCCTCATAGCCACAGCTGCATTGAAGCCCACTGTGGATCATTGTTCTGCACACTGCTTTTAGCTCTGCACGGCAAGAATGCCCGCTTCCCTGTCCCACATCTCATGCATCATTGGTGTTGCCCCCCCCATTCTTCCCATCCCTACCCCGTCAACACTTCCTCTCTTTCCGTCCTCCTCACTGTTCCGCTCACCCATTTCCTGCACTATGAACCACATCCCGCCACTCCCCCCACTCGTGCGCTCCTGTCAGTTGCGGCATGCGCTCGCCCCACCAGAGGCAGACCCGTCAGGTGAACTCATCGCCAGCTGCTTGAGGAAGCTGCACACATGCAACCAATCACAGCTCGCCACCTTGCAAGGTGACGGTTGCACTGCAGCCACCAGGGTGACTTGTGCAACCATTCCGTACTGTCCTGCCTCTGTCTGTTATTTGCCTTCCCGTTTGTTCTCCTCAACCCGTCCGTTTGCCATCCCATTTGCCTCACTCTACCATTTGCCATGCCCTTTCTCCTCTCACCCCTCTTCCCTCACCCCCTCCTCCCAGGCGTGCGGGACACAGTCACAGCAACTGTGGCACCCCTCCTGCCACCCGCGGCAGCCGGCGGGGGAGGGGAGCAGTTGGGTGTGCAGCAGCAGCACGGGGTGTTTCTGTTCTCGTGCCTGACCCACTGCACGAGCCACTACGAGGACCACTGGCTGCGACTCACCGTGCTCAACCAGGTCCCACCCACCCCCACCTCAACCTCTCTCTCCTCCCCCATTCCACTTCACATGCGTCGGTTTCCTCCTCACTCTTCCACCACTCACCCACCACTCACCCACCCTCACCCATCTGTCACCAACCCCTCACCCACCCCTCACTCGCGTTTCCGTTTATGTGCCCCCCACGCCTCCTTGGCAGACGCTGATGCATGCTGTGGGCAAGTGGCTGCGAACTGTGGACGCTACCACAGATGCACAGAGCACCAGCAGCACGCACGGTGGCGTAGATGGGTTTGAGGCGGCGCTGATAGACTGCCCGTACCCGTGCAACTCGTGCAACGTGCGGAGGGGCCCAGAGCAAGGGCAGGCAGGGGTAGCACAAAAGCAGGTGGAAGCAAGTCAAGGGCAGGAGGGGCCCAGGCAAGGGCAGGCAGGGGTAGCACAAAAGCAGGCTGTTCAAGGGCAAGCATTTCAAGCGCAGGTCAACACAGGTGGTGCTCAGGGGCAGGTCAAGACAGATGCCCCACAAGGGCAGGTGGGAGCACAGGCAGGGCAGGTGCAGGTGACAGAGGTGGTGCAGAGGGATGGGGGTGTGCAGGTGAAGACAGCGCAGGCTGGACTGGTGAAGCCAGAAACAGGTGGAGTTCAAACTACTGTGTGATTTGCATGGGGCGCTTGTTCCGATATCTGAATAATGCAAAAGCGGTGCTTGGTAAAGGCACATAGGGTATCAAGCCTCCCTTCCAGAATTATCTGCTGCAGTGCCAGTCAAGCTGTCTTCCATAAGTTAATAAATACAGGGCCTGCTCTTATGACGAGAGGGGCCATCCACATGTGGCATACACACACACAGGCTCCATGTTTCCCAAGGGTGCTGTACGCACAGTTTTGCTTCCTTCACACACAACCTTGTTCCTTCACACCCCTGTGTCACTCATCCCCCTCCTGCTCTTCCTCCGCACCTGTTCTGCATCACTTCCCTGCTCCCCCCTCCCTTCCCCCCCTCCCCCTCTTCTCTGCGTCACTCCTCCCCACCCTGCTCCACCACACCATGGTACGTGGTGCCATTAATGTTCACTTCACTGCCCTGCAACCTTTCGCTCGACATAAAACCAAGAACTGGTGTCACTGCTCCCCACCCTGCTCCACCACTCTGTGGTACGTGGTGCCGTTGATGTTCACCTCTCCACCACCCGACCCCGGGTACTCAAAGAAGAACGCATCCTCCACGCGTCCCCCTTCATACCGCAACTCAATGCCCTTCCCCCTTATCTCATACTCCCCCCTCCCCTCCCTCTCCTCATCATCCACCTCCTGTTCCCTCCCCTCCGACCCTACCCCTCTCCCTGCCCCCATCCCCGTCCCCGCTCCCTCCCCCACGCTCACACCCCCTGCTTTACACGGCAAGATCCCCGTTGCTCCCTGCACGCTGAACGTCCCGTCTCCTCGGAAAGTCACAGTCGTCCCACCATGCACCCCCGAAGCTTCTGCTGCATCCACAAAGTCCCGAGCCGCGGCGTGAACGAACCTCCCTTCCAACCGACACCCCTCCTCCGCCTCGCACGGCTGGACCCTCTTAAACACCACATCGCCGCCGCCCACCCGCACCTCCTGCTGACCTGGCGCCAGCGCCACCTGGCACCCGACGTAGTCAAACTCGTGCGCCGGGCCGTGGGAGTGCGAGAGCGGTACAAAGCGGTGCGGGTTGGTGCGGCGGTCGTGGTGGAAGTCGAAGTGGCGCGGGTCCCCGTGGGGCAGGCCGAGGTAGAGCTCGCCTGTGGAGAGCAGCGCCCAGTACTCCGTCCATTCCTTGAATGAATACCTGCACCAGGCAGTGGATGGGCAATAAGGGGGAGGGGGGAAGAAGCGGGGTGGGGGGCAGTGTGTGGAGGGCTACGAAATGTCCCAGAACAGGCAGGGGTATAGGGGTAATGGGGAGCAGCGCCCGCAGAGAGCAGCACCCAATACTCCATCTATCGCGTGGGAGAGAGATTGGGGGGCATAGGGGCAATGGGTGGCGAATGGGGGCAAGTGGTGTAGAAGAGAGGAGGAGCAGTGGGGAGTGGTGGTGTGGGAGAGGGGTGAAGCGTGGGGGACAGTGGGGGGGTAGACTGGGACAAGGGGAGAGTGGGAGCACTTTGGGGGAGACGAACGGGCATTGGTTGGGCAAAGTGGGTCCCTTTGGGGGCAGAATGGGGACCTCGGGCGGGCAAAATGGCGGCATTGGGGGTGCATTGGGCGTGTAGTGCCTGCTGCTCACGACTTGGGGACATGGGGTAGGGGGTACGGGGTGAGACATACCCGAAGGTGAGCACGTTGGGAGTGTAGTGTCTGCTGCGCGCCACATACAGCTCCTCCACCGCCACTTCCCGCGGCCCCTCCCCTTCCCCTTCCCCCTCCCCCTCCTCCTTCCGCCTCTCCTCCTCCGCCGCGCGCATCATCATCATCTCCCGCTCGCGGCGCCACCGCTCCATGCGCTGCTTCACCGTCTCGCGCCCCCACTTCCGCGCGCTCGCCCCCCCGGCCTTGCTGCTCCGCGCTTGCCCCGCCTGCGCAATGGTGCCAGTAGGCGCACCCGTGGTGTTTCTCCGAGTTTCCGCGCCGTCCTCGTCCCCCCGCGAGTCATTTCCCTCCGCTCCTCCCCCTTGCGCTCCGCCTGAACGCGCGTTCCCCGTCGCGCGCACCCCCACATCCTTGAGTCCCGGCGGGCGTTCCGCGCCATTTGCGGAAGCGGGATCTGCGCGCGCTTGGCGCGCAATGCTCGGCAGCGGGAATTGCGGGAGGCGGCGCTGGAGGCCGTCCACGTGGCGCGAAAGATTCTCCCGCCACTGGCGCGCCACATTACCGCTCTCCCACTCCGCCCGCACGCCTCTAACGAACAAAACTATATCGAAATCCGAACCGGACCGAACGGTTCCTTCCATCGCTATGCAGCGTCGTATGGCGATGTTCTGGTGGCAGAATGCGTGCGGCGGAGCGGACTAGTAGTAACCTTTCTGCACTCATATGCAGCCAAGTCTTGGAAGCTGGAATGCCGTTGCTCAAGTTCCGTCCATTGTGTTTGGTTTGGTGGTGGGGAACGGTGCTGCTCCCCGCTCTGGGGGATGTGCTGCTGACGCACGGATCATCGTGAGCTGACGTGGAATGGGGCATGTGATGACGAACGATGGAGTGTATGCTGACGTGCAACTCGATCTGCAAGTGAGAGAGAGTGCAACCACCTACCATTCACACAGCTCGAATTGGGAAAAGATCAAATAGGGGCCGAACAATAGCCGGGAGGTGACAAAATTAGGGCCGGGTTGATCCCAACCGTTGGATATACCCCCGGGGCTGCCCAAGTGGTTGGGCCGAGAATTCGAACCAAGATTTAAAGGAAATTACTAAGCTCGACTTACTTGGTTCAATGTTGTTTTCATAGGTTTTGATCGCCGCCAAGTACGAAGCTTGCGTCGCATTCCTCTGGAAGTAGGTTTCGTCATATTTATATTTTTGAGAAATGAAATGCGTAATCGTTTTCCGAAAAAAAAATCACTTTAGCTGATGTAAATATTAAAACCCGTTCGGAAACGGATGCGACTCGGGAGGCATCAACCCGAAACATCAGGCGGGTTCCCGTGTTTAGGGTTGATCCATCCCAAAAATGAGTCCAGGTTCCCTTTTGATATTAGTTTTTTTAGGCTGCCCTAACATTTCCCTGTTGCGTCGGTACCGCCGGTAGCGCTACCTGGCTCGCGAAACGACGCTACCAGGTGGAAAAAACGAATCATTTACGAGATCCTAAGGAATATTGAGGTGTGAGCGAAAATGCAAGCCGTGACGAACCTCTCTGTTAATCCCCCCTTGCGCAGCGGTTTGGTCAGTTCCGGGCCTCTCGGCCCCTGGTCGGTCACCTCTCTGGCACTGTACGGCCCCTCTTTGATCATTTCCCGCTCGAATTGGGCCCCGTACGCGATATATGCACATCGCTGAGAGAACTTGTCGGGCTCAACCTTTTAGTTCGCTGCAAACCAATATAACTTCATCTCCCAGTAAAAAGCAAAATTTGTATTTTTTTTCCCAAAACAAAATACACAATTAGCTATCGCCCACGATCAACTCAATAGCGAATCATGCATTCGGCTCTCCCCTCCATCACCTTCTGTTTCGCGCACACAGAGCAAACTCCCCCTGCTGCCGTATGAACCGCGCGTCCCGCCAACAGTGCGCCTAGTGCTGCGCGCGACCATGCATGGGGGGAGATTCTTGCGCCTCCTCCCCAGGCTGCCCCATGCGGATTTCCCGAGGGGAATGCTGCCGCGGGAGGGGGGAGGCTCCGCCGCTGATGCGCGCATGGGGCGCGATTTTCCGCCGCGCTTTCGCCTTCTCACGCGGAAGGAGGGCATCTCGGCGGAGGCGCTTGGCAGGTGTTGGCGGAGCGGAAACTTGGGGGATTGGGGCGCGGAAACAACGCATCCGCTTAGGGAGCCGTGGGGGGTGATAGTCGGGGGAGGGGGGTCGGCGTGCGGGGAGAGGGGAACGGTGGGCAGGGAGGGGGGGAATGCGGGTGGGGGGAGGCGCGGATTGCAGATACCGCGGTGGTTGGGATGGGGTGAGCGGGGGAAAGAGCGCGGCGCGCGCAGCGTTAGCGCGCCCGAGGCGAGGAGGGAGAGGGCGACGATGGAGCTACACGGGGAGAGCTGGGTCGACTGGTACAGGTGCGCGCACTGCTCTTCGCATTGGGTCGTTTTCCTGGGAGATCTCAAGAGACGCGACCTATCACGCGTTGCCCTGAAGCTCTGAGAGGGTTTAAGAACTCAAGTCCCTGTCACCACATACCACCCATGCCCCCCCATGCCACCCCGTGCCACCACATGCCACCACATGCCCCCCCATGCCACCTCATGCCACCCCATGCCACCCCATGCCACCCCATGGCCCCCCCATGGCACCCCATGGCACCCCATGCCCCCCATGGCACCCCATGGCACCCCATGCCCCCCATGGCTCCCCATGGCACCCCATGCCCCCCATGGCACCCCATGCCACCCCATGGCCCCCATGCCCCCCACGGGGCCCCCATGCATCAGTTGGATGCACGAGCTGGACTCTCCCCGCATGCGCCACCACCTGCAGCGCGAGCGCGCGTATCTGCACGCCCTCATGGCGCAACCCCACGCCTCTATGCCCCCCTCCCCGTGCCCCCCTCTGCCTCCGCCCTTCGTGTCAGCTGGATGCACGAGCTGGACTCCCCCCGCATGCGCCACCACCTGCAGCGCGAGCGCGCGTATCTGCACGCCCTCATGCGCACCAGAGCGCGTGGGGGGCGGACGATGGGAGAGTGGCAGCGAGAGGTGGTGGCGGAGATGGAAGAGAGCATGCCGCCGCCCTCCCATGCGCCTCCCGAGGCATGTGGGCCCTGGTGAGTGGGTGTGAGGCATGTGGGCCCTGGTGAGTGGGTGTGAGGCATGTGGCCCCTGGTGAGTGGGTGTGAGGCATGTGGCCCCTGGTGAGTGGGTGTGAGGCATGTGGCCCCTGGTGAGTGGGTGTGAGGCATGTGGCCCCTGGTGAGTGGGTGTGAGGCATGTGGCCCCTGGTGAGTGGGTGTGAGGCATGTGGGCCCTGGTGAGTGGGTGTGAGGCATGTGGCCCCTGGTGAGTGGGTGTGAGGCATGTGGGCCCTGGTGAGTGGGTGTGAGGCATGTGGCCCCTGGTGAGTGGGTGTGAGGCATGTGGCCCCTGGTGAGTGGGTGTGAGGCATGTGGGCCCTGGTGAGTGGGTGTGAGGCATGTGGCCCCTGGTGAGTGGGTGTGAGGCATGTGGCCCCTGGTGAGTGGGTGTGAGGCATGTGGGCCCTGGTGAGTGGGTGTGAGGCATGTGGCCCCTGGTGAGTGGGTGTGAGGCATGTGGCCCCTGGTGAGTGGGTGTGAGGCATGTGGGCCCTGGTGAGTGGGTGTGAGGCATGTGGCCCCTGGTGAGTGGGTGTGAGGCATGTGGCCCCTGGTGAGTGGGTGTGAGGCATGTGGGCCCTGGTGAGTGGGTGTGAGGCATGTGGCCCCTGGTGAGTGGGTGTGAGGCATGTGGCCCCTGGTGAGTGGGTGTGAGGCATGTGGGCCCTGGTGAGTGGGTGTGAGGCATGTGGCCCCTGGTGAGTGGGTGTGAGGCATGTGGCCCCTGGTGAGTGGGTGTGAGGCATGTGGCCCCTGGTGAGTGGGTGTGAGGCATGTGGCCCCTGGTGAGTGGGTGTGAGGCATGTGGCCCCTGGTGAGTGGGTGTGAGGCATGTGGGCCCTGGTGAGTGGGTGTGAGGCATGTGGCCCCTGGTGAGTGGGTGTGAGGCATGTGGCCCCTGGTGAGTGGGTGTGAGGCATGTGGGCCCTGGTGAGTGGGTGTGAGGCATGTGGCCCCTGGTGAGTGGGTGTGAGGCATGTGGCCCCTGGTGAGTGGGTGTGAGGCATGTGGGCCCTGGTGAGTGGGTGTGAGGCATGTGGCCCCTGGTGAGTGGGTGTGAGGCATGTGGCCCCTGGTGAGTGGGTGTGAGGCATGTGGGCCCTGGTGAGTGGGTGTGAGGCATGTGGCCCCTGGTGAGTGGGTGTGAGGCATGTGGGCCCTGGTGAGTGGGTGTGAGGCATGTGGCCCCTGGTGAGTGGGTGTGAGGCATGTGGGCCCTGGTGAGTGGGTGTGAGGCATGTGGCCCCTGGTGAGTGGGTGTGAGGCATGTGGCCCCTGGTGAGTGGGTGTGAGGCATGTGGGCCCTGGTGAGTGGGTGTGAGGCATGTGGCCCCTGGTGAGTGGGTGTGAGGCATGTGGCCCCTGGTGAGTGGGTGTGAGGCATGTGGGCCCTGGTGAGTGGGTGTGAGGCATGTGGCCCCTGGTGAGTGGGTGTGAGGCATGTGGCCCCTGGTGAGTGGGTGTGAGGCATGTGGCCCCTGGTGAGTGGGTGTGAGGCATGTGGCCCCTGGTGAGTGGGTGTGAGGCATGTGGCCCCTGGTGAGTGGGTGTGAGGCATGTGGGCCCTGGTGAGTGGGTGTGAGGCATGTGGCCCCTGGTGAGTGGGTGTGAGGCATGTGGGCCCTGGTGAGTGGGTGTGAGGCATGTGGCCCCTGGTGAGTGGGTGTGAGGCATGTGGCCCCTGGTGAGTGGGTGTGAGGCATGTGGCCCCTGGTGAGTGGGTGTGAGGCATGTGGGCCCTGGTGAGTGGGTGTGAGGCATGTGGCCCCTGGTGAGTGGGTGTGAGGCATGTGGGCCCTGGTGAGTGGGTGTGAGGCATGTGGCCCCTGGTGAGTGGGTGTGAGGCATGTGGGCCCTGGTGAGTGGGTGTGAGGCATGTGGCCCCTGGTGAGTGGGTGTGAGGCATGTGGGCCCTGGTGAGTGGGTGTGAGGCATGTGGCCCCTGGTGAGTGGGTGTGAGGCATGTGGCCCCTGGTGAGTGGGTGTGAGGCATGTGGGCCCTGGTGAGTGGGTGTGAGGCATGTGGCCCTGGTGAGTGGGTGTGAGGCATGTGGCCCCTGGTGAGTGGGTGTGAGGCATGTGGCCCCTGGTGAGTGGGTGTGAGGCATGTGGCCCCTGGTGAGTGGGTGTGAGGCATGTGGCCCCTGGTGAGTGGGTGTGAGGCATGTGGCCCCTGGTGAGTGGGTGTGAGGCATGTGGCCCCTGGTGAGTGGGTGTGAGGCATGTGGCCCCTGGTGAGTGGGTGTGAGGCATGTGGCCCCTGGTGAGTGGGTGTGAGGCATGTGGCCCCTGGTGAGTGGGTGTGAGGCATGTGGCCTTTGGTGGGTGGGAGGAGGGGAGGGGAATGGGGGACGATGGGGGAGTGGCAGCGCGAGGTGGTGGGGGAGATGGAGGGGAGCATGCCGCCGCCCTCCCACGCGCCTCCTGAGCCGTGTGGCCCCTGGTGGGTGCATGTGAGGGATGGTGGATGCGTGGGTGCATGCGTGGGTGCTTGTTCACTAGTCTAATTCCCCTGCGCCACCCATGCCTATCATCCGAACCCTTTTTCACTCCTTACAACCCCTGTGCCCCCCTCCCCACCACCACATTGCACAGGTCGTTGCTTCTCCTCTAACCCCACCCACCCCCCCCCTCTCCCCACCCCACCAGGCTGTACGGAGCACGGGTGCCAGACGGCCAGGAGCTGCCGGTGCTCTTCCGCTCACCCGCTGCCATGCGAGGTGACTTTTGAGTCGACTCAAAAGTCAGAAGCCGCCACCCTCTTCCCCCCCTCCCCACCCCGCCAGGCTGTACGGAGCACGGGTGCCAGACGGCCAGGAGCTGCCGGTGTTATTCCGCACACCCGCTGCCATGCACATGGGGGAGGGGGAGCATACAGCAGAGAGAGATGGAGGAGGGTGGCAGGGAGGGAGGGGTGAGAGAAGGGCGGAGCGAATGGGGGAGGAAATGGGGCGGCAAGGGGTGGTGGGGGAGCAAAGGGCAGAGGAGCGAGGGGTGGAGGAGCGAGGGGAGCAGGTGTTGGCGGATTTAAACGAGCTGGCGGACTATTATGGTGATGCCTCGTGGCCTTCACTGCACCCCCTGCTACTGCCTGCTTGTGCTCCACCCACCCTTGCTTGTGTGCCCCCATTCCGCGCACTCTCCCTGCTCCAATAGCCCCAGCCTTCACATGCTTCTCCCACATCTCTGCCTCAATCGGTGTGACACCATCGTTACTCAGGCCCATCTATTCCCTCCAATCCTCCCCACCTCACCCCACTGCGCCACATCCCATCCCATCCCACCGCTTTGCACCAGGGTACGTGAGGCTAGTGGAGTGCAAGGTGAGTCGCTGCCACGCCCTGCTCGCACTGCTCCTCGACCTCTCGCCCTCCGAGTCCCCCACCCTCTTCCTCCTCCACCTCCCCTCCTCCCCGCCACCTCCCCACTCCTTGCCCTTCCCCTCACACCCCCGCTCTCTGCCTTTCACCTCACGCCTGCTGTGCGCGCCCATCCCTGCGGTGGCGACAGTGGAGTGGGCGGCAGACTCGCAGCACGTGCTGTACACGAAGCTGGATGAAATCTCCGATCCCACCAGTGAGTGGAATTGGTGAGGGGGAGAGAGGGAAGATGCATAGAGAGGCGGCAGACTCGCAGCACGTGCTGTAGTGCCACCCCATCCCAGCAGTGGCGACAGTAAAGTGGGCGGCTGACTCACTCACAGCACGTTCTCTACACCCAGCTGGATGACCAACTGCGGTCGCACCGGTGAGCGCTGGAACGAGTGTTTAGACATCTCAAAAGCAGGTGTTGCGCTCTGGGATGTAGCATGTGTGGATGTCTGATGCCATTCCATATCGTGCTGTGGCGTTTTTTAGCATGGTGTTCATGCCATGACATGTGCAGCACAGGGTGATGAGGAGGCGCGTCCACATTCCACAGGAAGGGGAGGCAGGGATGCTGGTGGGGGGGGAGGAGGGGCGAGGAGGGCGCGGAGGGAGGGGAGGAGGAGGTATTGCGGAGTGAGGAGGAGGGGGTGGTGGTGGCTGTGTCTCGCACCAAGGACTGGCGATACCTCACTCTCAACCTCAACACCCGCATCTCTTCACAGGTGCGCACTTGGATGCACATGCACATGCATATGCGCACATGTACTTGCACATATCGACATACACACATGCCATGCACAGTCTCATGCACCCACACGCATGCACATATACACATGCACAGGGAGTGCTTGTATGCGCAGTCCATTAACCTGCACCCGTCACCCTGTACGCCCCTTCTCACTTGCGCCCCTCTTTCCTCCCTACACTCCTCCTCCTCCCCTCTTTCCCTCTCCCTCCCTCCCCTCAGGTCCATCTGTTAGACGCGCACCACCCCACAGCACCCCCTTGGCTGCTGCAGCGGCGGCGGGAGGGCGAGCAGTGGTTTGTGGAGCACCATGACGGGTGGCTCTATGCTGTCACCAACCGCTGCATGCAGGGCGAGGGGGGAAACGGAGAGAGGGGGAGAGCGGATAGGAAAGGGGAGGGCGAGAGGGATAGGAAGGAGGAGGATGGAGGGAGGGAGAGGCAAGGGGTGATGGGGGTAGGGAGTGATAGCAGTGGCGGTGGGGGGGAGGAGGGGAGGGTGGGGGAGTACCGCATTGTGAGGGAAAGGGAGGGTGGAGGGAGGGGGCAGCGGGGGGAGGTGGGGGGAGGCAGTGGGGAAGGAGGTGGAGGGGAGGAGGGGAGGGTGGGGGAGTACCGCATTGTGAGGGCTCCAGTTGAGTCAGCGCACCGAGCTGACAGCTGGCAGGTGAGAAGTGCGTGTGGAGATAGGCAGTGATAGCGGTGGAGGTGGGGGGGGAGGAGGGGAGGGTGGGGGAGTATCGTATTGTGAGGGCTCCAGTTGATTCCGCCCACCGTGCTGACAGCTGGCAGGTGAACAGTGAGCATATGGATGGCAGTGCGCGTGCAGTGCATCGGGCGCATGAGTGGCATTGTGTGCATCTTTGCTTTTCTGATCGCCCTTCTCTTCCTTTTTCACATCCTTAGAGTCGCTCCGTCTCCCTCTTGACAATACATCTGTTTTCAGTTGAGACGTCTGAGAACCTCACACTCTTGAGTCGCCCCCTTTCTCCCTCTCTCTCCACTCACACTCACTCCTTCCTCCCCCTGCCTGTGCACTGCTGCCCTCATTTGCTCATCCCCTCAACCCACCAGAGCCTGGCGATCAGAGTGAAAGGGTGGGACATCCGGCCATCAGACATTGTCATATCAGACATAGAGGTGTTCCGACACTGCCTCGCCGTGCACTGTCTCGTGCACTCCCTGCCGCACCTGCTGCTGCTGCCCCTTCCCCTCTCACCAGAGGGCGGAGTGGGAAGAGAGGAGGGTGGTGTGGGAGGGAAGGGGTGGAGAGGAGAGGAGGAGGGGAGGAGGGAAGTGGAGGTGTGGGCGAGGGCAGTGCAGCTGCCGGAGAGCGTGTGCCATGTGGTGGCAGGGGGCAACCAGGACTACCATGCTACCACTCTCCGCATCATGGTGTCGTCCCCTGTTGTGAGTGATCACTGTTGCCATGCTTTTGAGTCGACTCAAACGCAGTGCAGCTGCCAGAGAGGGTGTGCCATGTGGTGGCGGGGGGTAACCAGGACGTTGATGCTTTGAGTCGACTCAAAACACGAGAGGTGGAGGGGAGGAGGGAAGGGAGGTGTGGGCGAGGGCAGTACCGCTGCCAGAGAGGGTGTGCCATGTGGTGGCAGGGGGCAACCAGGACTTTGATGCATCCTCTCTCCGCATCATGGTGTCGCTCCCTGTTGTGCGTGCTCACTGCTATCATGCCATCATGCCATCATGCCACCATGCCATCATGCCACCATCTCGACTACCACAGCCTTCCACTCGTCTCTCCTTCCTTCCCTCCTCCACGCCTACTCTTGCTCCTCACCCCAGCCCTCCTTTAAACCCTTCTCTCTTCCTCTCCCATGACCACAGCCACTCCAGCCTCCTCTCTCACCCCTCCCTCTCCGTCCCTGTCTTTCCTACCCCCCTATTTGTTCCGCACACCCCCTACCCTCCCTTCCTCTTACTCACTTGCGCCACCAGATGCCTGAGGCCGGGTGCGAGGTGCACATGCTCTCTGGCACCCTCTCAGTGTTGCACCAAGAGCCGTACTGCCGCCACCAACCCCTCCTCCAGCAGCAGCAGCAGCAGCAGCAGCAGCAGCAGCAGCAGCAGCAGCAGCAGCAGCAGCAGCAGCAGCAGCAGCAGCAGCAGCAGCAGCAGCAGCAGCAGCAGCAGCAGCAGCAGCAGCAGCAGCAGCAGCAGCAGCAGCAGCAGCAGCAGCAGCAGCAGCAGCAGCAGCAGCAGCAGCAGCAGCAGCAGCAGCAGCAGCAGCAGCAGCAGCAGCAGCAGCAGCAGCAGCAGCAGCAGCAGCAGCAGCAGCAGCAGCAGCAGCAGCAGCAGCAGCAGCAGCAGCAGCAGCAGCAGCAGCAGCAGCAGCAGCAGCAGCAGCAGCAGCAGCAGCAGCAGCAGCAGCAGCAGCAGCAGCAGCAGCAGCAGCAGCAGCAGCAGCAGCAGCAGCAGCAGCAGCAGCAGCAGCAGCAGCAGCAGCAGCAGCAGCAGCAGCAGCAGCAGCAGCAGCAGCAGCAGCAGCAGCAGCAGCAGCAGCAGCAGCAGCAGCAGCAGCAGCAGCAGCAGCAGCAGCAGCAGCAGCAGCAGCAGCAGCAGCAGCAGCAGCAGCAGCAGCAGCAGCAGCAGCAGCAGCAGCAGCAGCAGCAGCAGCAGCAGCAGCAGCAGCAGCAGCAGCAGCAGCAGCAGCAGCAGCAGCAGCAGCAGCAGCAGCAGCAGCAGCAGCAGCAGCAGCAGCAGCAGCAGCAGCAGCAGCAGCAGCAGCAGCAGCAGCAGCAGCAGCAGCAGCAGCAGCAGCAGCAGCAGCAGCAGCAGCAGCAGCAGCAGCAGCAGCAGCAGCAGCAGCAGCAGCAGCAGCAGCAGCAGCAGCAGCAGCAGCAGCAGCAGCAGCAGCAGCAGCAGCAGCAGCAGCAGCAGCAGCAGCAGCAGCAGCAGCAGCAGCAGCAGCAGCAGCAGCAGCAGCAGCAGCAGCAGCAGCAGCAGCAGCAGCAGCAGCAGCAGCAGCAGCAGCAGCAGCAGCAGCAGCAGCAGCAGCAGCAGCAGCAGCAGCAGCAGCAGCAGCAGCAGCAGCAGCAGCAGCAGCAGCAGCAGCAGCAGCAGCAGCAGCAGCAGCAGCAGCAGCAGCAGCAGCAGCAGCAGCAGCAGCAGCAGCAGCAGCAGCAGCAGCAGCAGCAGCAGCAGCAGCAGCAGCAGCAGCAGCAGCAGCAGCAGCAGCAAGCAGCAGCAGCAGCAGCAGCAGCAGCAGCAGCAGCAGCAGCAGCAGCAGCAGCAGCAGCAGCAGCAGCAGCAGCAGCAGCAGCAGCAGCAGCATCAGCAGCAGCAGCAGCAGCAGCAGCAGCAGCAGCAGCAGCAGCAGCAGCAGCAGCAGCAGCAGCAGCAGCAGCAGCAGCAGCAGCAGCAGCAGCAGCAGCAGCAGCAGCAGCAGCAGCAGCAGCAGCAGCAGCAGCAGCAGCAGCAGCAGCAGCAGCAGCAGCAGCAGCAGCAGCAGCAGCAGCAGCAGCAGCAGCAGCAGCAGCAGCAGCAGCAGCAGCAGCAGCAGCAGCAGCAGCAGCAGCAGCAGCAGCAGCAGCAGCAGCAGCAGCAGCAGCAGCAGCAGCAGCAGCAGCAGCAGCAGCAGCAGCAGCAGCAGCAGCAGCAGCAGCAGCAGCAGCAGCAGCAGCAGCAGCAGCAGCAGCAGCAGCAGCAGCAGCAGCAGCAGCAGCAGCAGCAGCAGCAGCAGCAGCAGCAGCAGCAGCAGCAGCAGCAGCAGCAGCAGCAGCAGCAGCAGCAGCAGCAGCAGCAGCAGCAGCAGCAGCAGCAGCAGCAGCAGCAGCAGCAGCAGCAGCAGCAGCAGCAGCAGCAGCAGCAGCAGCAGCAGCAGCAGCAGCAGCAGCAGCAGCAGCAGCAGCAGCAGCAGCAGCAGCAGCAGCAGCAGCAGCAGCAGCAGCAGCAGCAGCAGCAGCAGCAGCAGCAGCAGCAGCAGCAGCAGCAGCAGCAGCAGCAGCAGCAGCAGCAGCAGCAGCAGCAGCAGCAGCAGCAGCAGCAGCAGCAGCAGCAGCAGCAGCAGCAGCAGCAGCAGCAGCAGCAGCAGCAGCAGCAGCAGCAGCAGCAGCAGCAGCAGCAGCAGCAGCAGCAGCCACACCCATGCAATCACTCCCCATCAACCCCACCTCTCCACCCTCCCAGCCCTCCCCTGCCCCTCTCCCGCGTGCCCGGGCTCATCTGTCAACGCCTCTGGGTACCATCCCCCAATGGCCCACCCATACCGCTCACCCTCATCCACCACACCAGCAGGCACAGAGACAGCCAGGGCCCGGCGCTACTAGAGGGGTACGGCGCGTATGGGGAGGTGACGGCAGCCGAGTGGGTGCCCCACCGCCTGCCTCTGCTGCACCGCGGGTGGGTCCTTGCCCTAGCGCACACCAGAGGAGGGGGCGAGCTGGGGCGAGCATGGCACGAGGCGGGGCGGGGGGAGAGGAAGGGGCGGGCGGTGGGGGATTTGAGGGCGTGTGCTGAGTATTTGATTGGGGAGGGGTGGGCAGGGAGGGGGCGGGTGGCTGCGAGGGGGAGCAGTGCAGGAGGGTTTCTGGTTGCTGCTGCTGTGAATACTGATCCTGGTCTCTTCCGAGCGATCGTGCTGGATGTGAGTGTGACTGCAGCGGAAGCGTGTCGGTCCAAGGTCACATCTACCTTGGAAACAACATATACATATACTCGTGTGATTTTATTAATCTGATTTGATCTTCCTGTTATCCTCTCTGGTTTCACCCCGCCCGCACCACCATGCACTATGTACCTCCTGCCCTAGCTTTGCCCCCACCCCTCGTTCCATCCGTGATTTTCTTCCATCCATGTGCTGCCGCTCATTCACTCTCCCCACCTCTCACTAGGCTGTCGCTCACCCACCCGCACCTCCTCTCGCACCCTCTCCCGGCCACAGGTGCCATTTCTCGACGCCCTCACCTCCTTGAGCAACCCGCCCTGCCGCTCACAGCTCTGGACTGCCACGAGTGAAGCCACCCTCTTCCCTATGCAGCCCACCCCCTCCCCACCCCCTCCCCACCCCTCGTCCAGGTGCCATTCCTGGACGCCCTCACCTCAATGAGCAACCCCGCCCTGCCGCTCACAGCGCTAGACCGCCACGAGTGGGGCGACCCTCTTCCCTATGCACCCTCACCTCCTCTTCCCCCGTCCCCACCTTCGTCCAGGTGCCATTCCTGGACGCCCTCACCTCCATGAGCAACCCCGCTCTGCCGCTCACAGCACTGGACCGCCATGAGTGGGGCGACCCCCTCGCCTGCCCCTCCGCCTTCCATGCCCTGAGAGCTCTCTGCCCCGTGCTGAACGTGCAACCAGGGGTCAAGTACCCTGCTGCCCTGCTCTCTGCTGCTCTCCACGACTCCAGGTGCGCTTTATGAACTCATCTTGGCCTTCCATGCCCTGAGAGCGCTCTGCCCTGTGCTGAACGTACAGCAAGGGGTCAAGTACCCTGCTGCCCTGCTGTCTGCTGCTCTTCATGACTCCAGGTGAGTTGTCTGTCTGGCCTCCTCCTTCCGTGCCCTGACAGTTCTCTGCCCCGTGCTGAACGTGCAGCAAGGGGTCTAAGTACCCTGCTGCCCTGCTGTCTGCCGCTCTCCACGACTCAAGGTGAGTTGTCTGTCTGGCCCCCCCTTCCATGCCCTGAGAGCTCTCTGCCCCGTGCTCAACGTGCAACCAGGGGTCAAGTACCCTGCTGCGCTGCTGTCTGCTGCTCTTCATGACTCCAGGTCAATCGTCTGAGTCATATTAGACTTGTATTCCGTGCACTGAGAGGCTGTGCCCTGCGCTGAACATGCAACAAGGGGTCAAGCACCCTGTCGCCCTGCTCTCTGCTCCTCTGCACCACTCCAAGTTGATCGTCTGAGTCATATTAGGCTTGTATTCCGTGCACTGTGAGCCGCTGTGCCCCGTGCTCAACGTGCAACAAGGGGTCAAGCACCCTGTCGCCCTGCTCTCTGCCACAACTCCAGGTGAAAATACTCTCTGCCACAAAATTTTGAACCGTGAGTGCTCTGCCTCATGCTGAACTTGCAGTTGGGGGTCAAGTACCCTGCGCCTGTGCTGGTTTCACATGCACTATGCTTCTCCAACCCTGCCCACTCCCCTGTCCCTCCTCTGCCCCTGCCTTTTCCCTCAGAGTGGGCCCATGGGAGGCATTAAAGTGGGCAGCCAAGGTGAGAGCAGAGAGCGACTACTGTGAGAGGGAGCGGCCTGTACTGGTGCGCGTGTGGGGGGACAGAGGGCACGTGGCACCATGCAGTGGCAGGGAGCAGATGGAAGATGTGGCTTTGGAGCATGCCTTCCTGCTGCACCACGTTGGGGGGGGAGAGCAAACACTGTGAGAAGAAGCGGCCGCTGGTGGTGTGTGTTGGTTGAGTGGGGCCACCGTGCAGCGGCAGGGAGCAACTGGAGGACGTGGCTTTGGAGCATGCCTTCCTGCTGCACTATGTTGGTGATGGAGAGTGATTACTGTGAGAGTAAGGGGAGCCACATGACACCCTGCAGCGGCAGGGAGCAACTGGAGGATGTGGCTCTGGAGCATGCCTTCCTGCTGCACTATGTTGGTGCGGACTGCTAATGGAGGTTCGCAAAAACGCCTGGAAGCAGATGGGAGGATGTGGCTCTGGACTCTGCATCATGCATTCCTGGTGCACTGTGTTGGGGAGGGATGCTAATGAAGATCTTCATAGCAGATGAAGGACATGGTTCGGTTGGAGCTTGCCTCATAAATGGGTTGCTGTGACTTCACATTTGCATTAGCTATATATTTTGGGATAGTGCGGAGCAGTGGAGCCATCTTGAGCTGCCTGCTCGATACAAAATAGCCGAGCCATGAAAGGATAAGCTTTTCAATTCATATATGGGCCGACATATGGGGCGAACACGGAGGTATCAGACTGCGCAGGAGGCACAGTCAAAGGTGTGCGAATCTCCTCCTAGTTCTGCTCACAGGAAGCAGAGAGACAAAACAAGAGTGGAATGCACAGGAGCACAGCACAGACAGAGAAGAATGAGCGACTACTCAGTGTGCGGCGCAGGGGAGAGAGATAACTGAAGATACAGGGATAGAGAGGATGAACTGCAGTCAAGGCAGAGCGTGTGGAAGTTTGTAGAGCAGGCAGAGGGGGTAATAAATATACCTGCTGAGAGGGGTCATAGCCCTGGCCCCCTCCTCCCCCTCCCTGGCGCCCATAGAAGTCTCCGCCCCCCCCTCCCATGCCCATGCCGCCCCCCCATCCCCCCATGCCAAACGACCCTGCTGCTGCTGCTGCCTGCAATTGCTGTGGACAGGAAGATGGGTTGGGGAAGGGGGGAAGGGGGGAAAGGAGGGTGAAGGGGTGCGTGCAAGCACAAAGGCGCACACGGAATGAAAGGTGCTGGCACCGGGGCAAAGAGACGCAAGGGGCGCTTGTCACGAGCACAGAGCACAGAGCATGTGTTGATGCAGGTGTGTAGCCCTGACATTGTGTTGCTGCTGCAGCAGCAGAACCAGCAGCACCAGCTGCTGCTGTCACTCATGGGGTGGAGGGATGGGGTGGAGAGGATGGGGTGGACGGGATGATGGTGTGGAAGGGCGGTGCTGACCTGTTGTTGCAGCAGCAGCAGCTGCATGTTGGGGTCCAATGCACCCGCCATGTTGAACCCCGCCAACGACCCCCCTTGCACCGCCACCAGCGCCTCACTGCTCGCCACACCCAGCAACACCACAAGGCAGGACAAGGGACACAGGAGGCACATGAGGCAGATGAGGCACAGCGATTGCCCCAGGAGGTGATGCCAGCAGACTCACCAGGTCCACATAACAGGAACAAAAAACCCAAACGGCTGGTCCGTATCACGTGTGCTCACAAGCAACAAGCACCCACACAACGCAGAGCCCAATCCCTAGAAGCACCCCCGCCCCACCAACACAACCCCTTCTCTCCTTTCCCTCACCGGACCTCTTGGAGACACGGAACAGCTCGATGTATCGGATGCCCATAGCCCGGTGGCGCTCCATAGCCCGCCCCGCCTCCTCCGGCAATGCAGCCAAATGGGCCGCCTCACATCCCAACCTCTCCCCAACCAACCCAACCTCTTCACCCCCCACAACCCACGTCTTGGAGACACGGAACAGCTCGATATAACGATTTCCCATGTGTTGTTGGTGGCGCTCCATAGCCCGCCCCGCCTCCTCCGGCAATGCAGCCAAATGGGCCGCCTCACATCCCAACCTCTCCCCAACCAACCCAACCTCTTCACCCCCCACAACCCACCTCTTGGAGACACGGAACAGCTCGATATAACGATTTCCCATGTGTTGTTGGTGGCGCTCCATAGCCCTCCCCGCCTACTCCGCCGATGCAGCCATTTGAGGCGCCTCACATCCTATCCCCTCCCCAACACAACCTCTCCCTCCCCCCAAACCTACCTCTTGGAGACACGGAACAGCTCGATATAACGATTCCCCATGTGCTGCCGGTGGCGCTCCATGGCCCTCCCCGCCTCCTCCGACGAGGCAAACTCCACAAACGCCTCTCCCGTGGGCCGGTCGTTGTGCCCCGTCATGATGTGCACACCGTTCCCCACCACTTCATACCCCTCGAAAAACGCCAGAATGTCCTCCTGCCCTGCACTGAACGGTAGCCCGCGCATCTTTATGCATACGTTCTCTGACGCCGCTGCTGCTGCCTGCGCTGCGCCCATCCCGCCCCCCGGGCCTCCTGCCCCCCCCATGCCTCCGCCCCCCATCCCCCCTGCGCCCATTCCGCCCGCGCCCCCCATTCCGCCCGCGCCCATGTGCATGGCGGCGAGATTGGCTGCGCCCAGGCTTGGCATTCCGAAGCCCATCATACCAGGCATCTGCCCGTAGACCCGCCCACACAGGGGGTGGAGAAGGGAGGGAGGAGGGAGGGATGGGGAAGCGGAGTGGCAGGTGGAAGTGCGAGCAGGATAATCAGGTATGGCAACGGGGAAGGGGCGGGGAGTGGCATCGACAAGCAAGGGAAAATGGGCGGGGAGTGGCGCTGAAACAAGCAAAGGGGGCATGAGAGTGGGACAAAAGTGCCTGAGCCTGCCTGGTAGGCAATGGCGATTGAAGTGACAAGGGGGCATGCGCACAAAGGGCGATGGGCAAGAGGGCCATGTTGTGTGTGCAAGGGGGGCAAGAGCAAGGTGGCAAGTGCGCAAGGGGGCTTGGGGCAAGGGGACGCACGGGGCCCATGAAGGCGGGGACGGGCGGGAACATGGAGTACATGCGCTGCTGCACCGCCGCCATCATCTCCCCCTTGGTGCTCCGGAACAGCTCCACGTACCGCTGCCGCGCGCACAGGCCGGGGGAAGGGGCGCACGGGGAGTGGAGGGGGCGCGGAGAGTGAGGAGATGGGGGAAGAGGTGAGGGGTGAGCGGCAGAGGCGGAGGAGCAAAGGCAGGAAGGCAGACGAGAAGGGGCGAGAGAGCGAGGAGCGGGCGTTGAATGGCATGCGGGAAACGCAAGCAGGCAAGACGCGCGTGAGAAGAAAGGAAGCAAGCGAGCGGGGGGGAGCAAGGGAGTGGGGGGGAGTGTGAGCGCACATGGCCCATTGGTTCCCGGTGCAGCTGCAGCGCCCTCGCCGCCGTCTCCTCGTTCGCAAACTCCACAAACGCCTGCCCGCCCGCCCACACAGGACTCCCACGCACGCCACACATGCACGCCACACATGCACGCCACACATGCACGCCACGCATGCACGCCACGCATGCACGCCACACATGCACGCCACACATGCACGCCACACATGCACGCCACACATGCACGCCACACATGCACGTCACGCATGACATGCAAGCAAGAAAGGAGGAGTGTGAGAGAAGCACGGGCAGACGCGCTGATAAAGAAGCTTTGCTGCCCGGAAATGAACGAAATGACCCAACACTAGTCTATATGAACTGACATAAACCGACATGAACTGTTATGAACCCATCTGAGTGCAAGGGCGTGCAGTGCAACGCGGCGGGGGTGGTCACCTCGCCGGTGGCGCGGCCGTCGGGGTGCGAGCAGAGGAAGATGCCGTCGTGCGCCACCTGCATGCCCTTGAAGAACGCCGCTATGTCCGCCGACGTCGCGCTGCGCGCACGCACACACCGCGTACGGGAGAGCGGTGAGCGGGGAGCGCGGGGAGGGAGGGGCAAGGAGAGCGCGGAAAAGATTGGGGTGCAGGAAGCTGGGAACGGAAGAGGGAGAGACAACGCAGACGGGACGCGTGGTGCGCAGCACGAACCTGGAGGAAACGCATGGCAGTAGCGCAAGGGCGCACATTGATGATAGAGCATGCATGGCACGTGGGGCAAGGGGAGGGCAGAGCGCGCACCTATAGGGCATGCCGCGCATGCGGATGACGCCGCTGTAGCGCATGTCCGTGTTGCCCGCCATTCCTGGCACCCCAGCCCCCGCAGCACCACCCGCAAGCAGCCCAGATGTTGCCGCCGCCATATTGCCGCCCATGCCCGCCATGCCCATATTAGGCGCCCCCGCCCCCGGACCAGCACCAGCAGCACCGCCCCTGCCCGCCATCCGCAAGGCCCCCTGCATTCCACGGCGCATGCAACGCAATCCACACGAGGCCATGCCACCACGCCACCACTCCATTCCATTGCGCCATCCCGGCTAACCGCACAGCACCGCACTATCCGCTCGCGGGGACCGTGGATATGACATGGTATAGGAGAGCAGCTAGTCTACAGATGAACGCGCGCACGACAGAAATCAGACATGCGAGATGGAAAACCGCGAGCACGCACCTCCATGTCTGCTGAATGCCCCTTGAAAACCTCGATATAGCGCGATCCGATGTGCTGCCTGGAAGCAACACAGTTATAGGTGTGAGACAGGGGCAGCAACGCTCTGTGCAGATCTCAACGTGCAAAGCGCAAAGCGCGCCAATGGCATACGGGGAGAGAATGCTCTCACCTGTTGCGCTCGAGGGCTTTGGTCGCATTCTCCGCGTCCGCGAAGCGAACGAAGGCCTGGCCAGTCGCTCGACCTGCCGTCGCATGGCGAGAACGCATGGATGGGAGAATGCGAGAGGACGAGAGGAAGGCACATGAGATGCAAGCGATACACGGTTGCACGGCACGGAACAGCTAAAGGCAAATGAATATGACGAGTGAGGATCGGCGTACGCCACGCGGATTGATGCGCAACGAGCGATGCCATCACCTTGGTAGTTAAGCTGCAGGACGATGCCGTCGGGCGCGATGTCGAGCCCGTCGAAGAAGGCTTTAATGTCCGACTCCGTCGCGCTGAACGGCAGCCCGCGCAGCCTCACCACGAGGCTCCTCGCTCTGCCATTCATTGACGCCGGAGAGAGCGCGACCGAGAAATGAGACGCGACGGCGAATGAGGCAGCATTGAATCAGTCAGGCAACGAATCAGTCAAACTCGTGCCAAAGCGCAGGAGGGTGAGAATAAGGAGCGAAACTCGAGATACTCACAGCTCATCGTCGAGAGAACCGTTTCCGGCAAGACCACCGCCTGACATGCTGGCTGAGCAAGACGGTATCTACGGAGAGATGAGATTAGGGCCGGCTTTACCGGGATGAGATCTTAGATTCAAAGCAACGAGAACAAAACCCTATTTTTTATGAGCCGCAGATATTTTTGCTGGGAACCAGTCAGCTATGGAGATCCCAGAGTTTGGACCATGATGCACCACTGCGTGATTCGTTATTGACATGTCGTGCTCTCTTGCCATTAGTTTTTGCAGCGGATAATTATGATGATCGCGATGCACAACAAATTCCTCTCAATCAAAATGTCTGACGCGGCGAGATCTCGCGTGTATCAGGTAAACGGGATGCACCAGCGTGGCACCAATCACAGCAACCGCGTCATCCACGGCACTGACCGCATTCACCTTCCCGCCAATTCCTTCATTCCGCACTTCCCTGCAGCACCGTCCGCCACTTACAGCGAATCCGCTTCTCGCCTCCGGACCACTGGCCACTCTTCACCCGCCACGCATCCCTGCACAGTCAGCCCCTCCATTCCCCTTCGATGCCCAGCTGGACCGGGGCATTTCCCAAGGCAGCTCTGGCAGTCCCAAGGGCGAGGCAGCCAAGGCAACTGAGAGGCTGTGCTGCTTGCTACCGCTGCCTCTCATCCTTGATTCCCTTCTTGATGCTTCCACTGGGCTGGGACATATTTCCTGGTCCAAGAATTTCGAATTGTCATTCATTTCTTTTTTGCATCACTGACGGATCTTAGTAGTGCCTCCTTGGTCGCCCATACTCGTTCCCATGGCGTCCATTGCCACGTCAGCAGAGCGAGCAGTAGCTCTCCAGTCTCTTGGCCTTCGATCCGCTGCTGCTGCTGAGTCCCTTGCCAGCAGCTCCTCGCATGTGTTCTCCCCGCTAAAAGTGACCTCTCTTAGGTAAGTCCGGTCACCCAATAACGACCGTCAAATATGGACGCAGTTGATCGTCTGTCAATGCGGTCATGATCACAACGCATCCCCTTGGCCTCCCACGCATCCCTCTCGTGCCTGCCGTGACTGCAGTGCTGCCCGCACCAGATCGTCGTCTACGAAGTCCAATGTCGCCACCGTGCGCGCCTCCTCCGACTCAGGCACGTGCCGTCTCACAATATTCAACACCATTTAACACCAGCACACATGGTCGTACCTCTAAACCCAGGCAGTCCACACCACATCATTCAGGCTGACTTCATTCCGTCGTTTGCAGACGGCGAACGACCGCATAGTTCGATTATCTTGACGCCCGTTGACTTTCTACAAGAATGCCGCTCGTCCTTATCCTCAATGACCCGCTTACCCGGCTGTTGACCATTCGTGAAAAAACGGCTGTTGAATGTCGATGTCTTTCGCCGTGCACCCCTACCTGTGTGCGACGTCGCAGAGTATCGCACGGGCGTGAAGCGCAACCACAACATCGGCAAGCTACAGGCGGGCTACCTCTTCCCCGAGGTGCGCTGCCCGCTCTCCCACCAAACCCTTCCGTTTCACCAATGCACGATATCGATTCACCTCGTTGGCCAGCTTAATCGCAACCGCATTCCTCTTACGTTACTCCTCCCCAACCCCGCGACGCCCCCCACCCGTCTTCCCCGCCTTCTTTCCCCGCAGATCGCGCGGCGGCGGCGCGCGCACCTGGAAAAGCACCCCGAGGCGAAGATCATCAGCCTGGGCATCGGCGACACCACGGAGCCCATCCCTGACGTCATCACCGCCGCCATGGCCAAGGTGAGCCCGTTGCGTGGGTGGAGAAAAGTGGGAAGTTGTTGGGTGGGGGTGGTAACAGGGTGATGGGAGTCAGTGCGAGTAGTGGTGGCGGATGTGCCTCACGGGGATGGATATGCACAGTGCTGGAAAATACGCCGGCAACGCACGATGTATGCAAGAGAAGTTTTCATAACGAAGTGAGTATAAGTACGCAAAGAGAGCACAGCCCGTTGGCGACAAATAAGAACTTAGCAGCAAAGGTGAACGGCCAGAATGTTCTCAACCACTCGTCGCCCATCCCTACTGACACCCTTTCCCTCTCCGCCCCCCCCTTCATCTCCCGCTGTCCCGCGCAGAGGGCGCAAGGGTTGTCAACGCCAGCGGGGTACTCCGGCTATGGCGCCGAGCAGGGCGAACAGGTGCGTGGGCGGAGAGGAGGTTGGGGGCAGCACATACGTGAAGGGGAGGGGGATGAGGGAGGGGAGGGAAGAGGGGAATGACACATGAGGAGTGGGTTGTGAGTGCACTGAGCTGTGCCTCTGCACCATCCCGAAATGATGGCATTGTTTCCGCACTGCCACCGCTTCCCATTCCACACCACCCCATGCCGCGCATGCTCACTCTACCCCTGGCGTCGTGTGCTCCACTGACTCCGCGCACCCCCCACCAGGCCCTGCGCGCGGCGATCTGTGCGACGTGGTACAGCAAGCTGGGCATCACGGAGGACGAGGTGTTCGTGTCCGACGGTGCCAAGTGCGACATTGCGCGCCTGCAGGTGGGTGCTTGAGACTGCAGATGGGTGCTTGACACTGTAGGCCCTGAGCACGGCCATCTGTGCAAGCTGGGCATCACGGAGGACGAGGTGTTCGTGTCCGACGGTGCCAAGTGCGACATTGCGCGCCTGCAGGTGGGTGCTTGAGAATGCTCAGTGATTTCTTACGAGACAAAGCCAATCCCTCATGCCGCCATGCCCCCGTATGTGTTTCTCTGGTTCTTGTATGGACGTGCTTCACCGGGTCGTTTCCACTGTCTCACCGTCTTCTCAACTCCCCCATCCATTCCCCATCGCTCAACCAGATGATGTTTGGCGCTGACGTCACCATGGCCTGCCAAGATCCCTCCTATCCGGTATGGCCCATCTCCGCTCCCCCATCCTCCCCCCCCATCTTCGCTCCCCCATCCTCCCCCCCCATCTCCGCTCCCCCATCCTCCCCCCCCATCTTCGCTCCCCCATCCTCCCCCCCCATCTCCGCTCCCCCATCCTCCCCCCCCATCTCCGCTCCCCCATCCTCCCCCCCCATATCCGCTCCCCCATCCTCCCCCCCCATCTCCGCTCCCCCATCCTCCCCCCCCATCTCCGCTCCCCGATCCTTCCTCCCCATCCCCGCTCCCCCATCCTCGCTCCCCCATCCTCGCTCCTCCATCCTCGCTCCCCCATCCTCGCTCCCTCATGCTTGCTCCCCCATCCCCTCTCCCCCATCCCTTTTCCCCCATCCTCTCTCCCCATCCTTAATCCCCCCTCTTAGCCCTCCCTATTTTCACTGGCCATGCTGTTCAATATGGCAATGACAATCCTTGCCAATCACATGCATCCCTCTGGCTCGTGGGTGGGGCACCACACGACATGGCATGGCATGGCATGGCATGGCATATCATGACACGGCATGACTATGGCATGGCAGGCATACGTGTGATGATGGGTCAGACGGGGCTGTACGTGCCAGAGACGCAACAGTTCGTTAACATCTCACCTACCTGCGCTGCTCACCTATGAACCACTTTTGCTTTCTTGACATTTCCCACTCCCCCGCCCTGTCTCCCATCAGGCGTACGTGGACACGAGTGTGATGATGGGGCAGACGGGGCTGTACGCCCCAGAGACACAGCAGTTCGATAGCATCACCTACCTGCGCTGCTCACCCGAGAACGACTTACGTTTCCTTGACATTTCCCCAACTCACCCCCCTGGCTCCCATCAGGCATACGTGGACACGAGTGTGATGATGGGGCAGACGGGGCTGTACGCCCCGGACACGCAGCAGTTTGGCAACGTGACGTACCTGCGCTGCTCCCCCGAGAACGACTTCTTCCCAGACCTCGCCTCCGCGCCGCGCACCGACATCATCTTCTTCTGCTCGCCCAACAACCCCACCGGTGAGCCACAGCAGGATTTCTTGAAGCTCCACAACCCCACCCACCGTTCAGCCCACATCTCTCCTCCTGTCCCACCTTATCCCGTCTCTTATCCAGCAACGCCCACTCAACGCCCTTCCTCTCATCCCTCCCCTCCCTCCCCTCCCCTCCCCTCCCCTCCCTCCCTCCCTTGCACCATGCAGGGCGGGCGGCGTCACGGCAGCAGCTGCAGCAGCTGGTGGACTTCGCGCGTGCCAACGGGTCCATCATTGTGTATGACTGTGCCTACGCCATCTACATCGAGGATGACTCGCCCAAGTCCATTTACGAGATCCCTGGCGCTGATGAGGTGGGACCATGCGGGCATGAATGGTCTGAGAGTGCTAGTTCTGTAGTTGTGACTTTTGACCAGCGCTACGTCTCTTTGCTCCCCTTCTTCAACCCTTCCATATCGCCAACCTCAACCCCTCCCCCCATCCCCCATCCACAGGTGGCCATTGAAACGGGTTCTTTCTCAAAATACGCTGGTTTCACCGGGGTGCGTCTGGGCTGGTCCGTGGTGCCAGCAGCGCTGCACTATGCCTCCTCGTTGTCCCTCTCCGCTCCCTCGACACCTCCCCCCCCCCCCTTTTCCCCCTCCCCCCCCATCCACAGGTGGCCATTGAAACGGGTTCTTTCTCAAAATACGCTGGTTTCACCGGGGTGCGTCTGGGCTGGTCCGTGGTGCCAGCAGCGCTGCACTATGCCTCCTCGTTGTCCCTCTCCGCTCCCTCGACACCTCCCCCCCCCCCTTTTCCCCCTCCCCCCCCATACCCAGGTGGCCATTGAAACGGGCTCTTTCTCCAAGTACGCGGGTTTCACCGGTGTGCGTCTGGGCTCGTCCGTGGTCCCAGCAGCGCTGCGCTACACAGACGGTCATCCAGCGCGCGCGGACTTCAACTGTCCCCCTCTTCTCCACCCAACCCCTCCCTCCTCTCCAGGTGGCCATTGAAACGGGCTCTTTCTCCAAGTACGCTGGCTTCACCGGCGTGCGTCTCGGCTGGTCCGTGGTCCCAGCAGCGCTGCGCTACACGGACGGCCATCCGGTGCGGGCGGATTTCAACCGTGTCACCTGCACGTGCTTCAACGGCGCCAGTAACGTCTCCCAGGCAGGAGGCCTTGCGTGCCTCTCTCCTGAGGGCCTCGAGGCCATGGCAACGCTGGTGTCGTTTTACAAGGCCAATGCAGCCATTCTCAAGGCCACATTTGAATCCCTGGGCTATGAGACGCACGGGGGGGACAATGCGCCGTACGTGTGGGTGCGCTTCCCTGGGCGCTCCTCCTGGGACGTGTTTGCTGAGATTCTGGAGAAGGCTGATATTGTCACCACGCCTGGGAGCGGGTTTGGGCCCGGTGGGGAGGGGTTCGTGCGTGCGAGTGCGTTTGGGAGCCGTGCGAACATTGAGGAGGCGGCGCGGCGGATCACGAAGCTGTACTCGTTGTGAGTGCGGAGGGGTTATTAGGGCCGCGGCATAGAGGGGCGTGTGGTTGTGGAGTGGTGGCAGGGAGTGATGTGGGTAGGGAAACCTGTCGGATCGATGTTTGTGCAAGTCCCAGTTGAAATAACTAGGATCCTATGAGCATATGAGCAATATGACCACAGATCCTTCTCTCCTGTCATGCAAGCAATGCACACACAGACACAGCCACTTGGGTGGGAAAACACATGGCAAGAGCAGCAGCTCTCCCAACATTCTGCAGCACTCACCTGAAAACTGCAGAGTTCCCTCCCGCTACTGCGTGAGACACATCAGTGCAGCACCATGCACACAGAGGCAACAAGAGTCAGGACCTCACAGTGCTCTGGTCAGGTCTGGTTTGCAGAGGAAGCGAAAAAAACTCCAGCCGGTGAAAAAAAAAAAACAAGAAACGAATTATATGAAGCACAACAGCAAGACATGCTTAGACGAATTCAACAGGTTTGAGTGCATTTCGCCTAGCAGGTTTCTCAATAACGCAGTTCAAGTAGAGCTGGTGTGCCTCTATCTCCCCACGGTCGGGCTTGGGCATGAGCGTCCAGTGCAGGCGGCGGTAGCGCAGCTGCTGCAGCACGGCCACATACAGCACCATGTCATCGACGGGCGCGTAGAACATCTCAAACCACATGAGGCCGCCTGGGTGGGGGACAGGAGTGGAGTAGGGTGGGGTGGGAGGAGTGGGACATGAGCGTCCAGTGCAGGCGGCGGTATCTCAGCTGCTGCAGCCCGGCCACATAGAGCACCATGTCATCCACTGGCGCGTAGAACATCTCAAACCACATGAGGCCACCTGGGGGAGAGGAGGGGGTGGGGGGGGTGGGGGAGGGGTGAAGTGGGGTTGAGCATTGTTGCAGCACGGCCACGTACAGCACCATGTCATCGACAGGTGCGTAGAACATCTCAAACCACATGAGGCCGCCTGGGGAAGAGGAGGGGAGTGGGGAGGGGTGGAGTAGGGTGGGTTGGGGTAAGGCTAACTTGCTTTTGCAGCACGGCCACATACAGCACCATGTCGTCCACTGGCGCGTAGAACACCTCAAACCACATGAGGCCGCCTGGGGCAGGAGCGGGTAGGGGGGGCAGGGGCGGGGATGGGATGGGTGGGATGGGACGGGATGGGGTGAGTTCTTTTTTTAGGCAGCACGTGTCACAATAAGGGTTGAATTGATAGATTAGGGAATAGGATAAATGGCCTTAAGTAGCACAAACTAGGAGAAAGGAAATCCTAGGGAATCCTAGGAGGATCCAACCAATCCAACCAACAAACCAAAGATGGATGAGCTTTTGGATGGAGGGGGGGTTAGATAGGTTGGGAAAGAGAAATTCTACACCCAACCCAACCAAAAGCTAAACTTACTAAATAGTAAACCCTAAAACTTTTCAAGGCTAACACACAAAGTGCAGCCTATTTCCAACAGGGGGAAGAACGCAGCTAGATGGGGGAAGAACGCAGCTGGGTGGGGGAAGAACGCAGCTGGGTGGGGAAGAAGGCAGCTGGGTGGGGGAAGAACGCAGCTGGGTGGGAGAAGAACGCAGCTAGGCGGGGGAAGAACGCAGTTGGGTGGGGGAAGAACGCAGCTGGGTGGGGGAAGAACGCAGCTGGGTGGGGGAAGAACGCAGCTGGGTGGGGAAGAACGCAGCTGGGTGGGGGAAGAATGCAGCTGGGTGGGGGAAGAACGCAGCTAGGTGGGGGAAGAACGCAACTGGGTGGGGGAAGAACGCAACTGGGTGGGGGACGAACGCAGCTGGGTGGGGAAGAACGCAGCTGGGTGGGGGACGAACGCAGCTGGGTGGGGGACGAACGCAGCTGGGTGGGGGAAGAACGCAGCTAGGTGGGGGAAAAACGCAGCTGGGTGGGGGAAGAACGCAGCTGGGTGGGGGAAGAACGCAGCTGGGTGGGGGAAGAACGCAGCTGGGTGGGGGAAGAACGCAGCTGGGTGGGGGAAGAACGGAGCTGGGTGGGGGGAGAACGGAGCTGGATGGGGGAAGAACGCAGCTGGGTGGGGAAGAACGCAGCTGGGTGGAGGAAGAACGCAGCTGGGTGGGGGAAGAACGCAGCTGGGTGGGGGAAGAACGCAGCTGGGTGGGGGGAGAACGCAGCTGGGTGGGGGAAGAACGCAGCTGGGTGGGGGAAGAACGCAGCTGGGTGGGGGAAGAACGCAGCTGGGTGGGGGAAGAACGCAGCTGGGTGGGGGAAGAACGCAGCTGGGTGGGGAAGAACGCAGCTGGGTGGGGGAAGAACGCAGCTGGGTGGGGGAAGAACGCAGCTGGGTGGGGGGGGGAACGCAGCTGGGTGGGGGAAGAACGCAGCTGGGTGGGGAAGAACGCAGCTGGGTGGGGGAAGAACGCAGCTGGGTGGGGGAAGAACGCAGCTGGGTGGGGGAAGAACGCAGCTGGGTGGGGGGGGGAACGCAGCTGGGTGGGGGAAGAACGCAGCTGGTTGGGGGAAGAACGCAGCTGGGTGGGGGAAGAACGCAGCTGGGTGGGGGAAGAACGCAGCTGGGTTGGGGAAGAAAGCAGCTGGGTGGGGGAAGAACGCAGCTGGGTGGGGGAAGAACGCAGCTGGGTGGGGGAAGAACGCAGCTGGGTGGGGGAAGAACGCAGCTGGGTGGGGGAAGAACGCAGCTGGGTGGGGGAAGAACGCAGCTGGGTGGGGGAAGAACGCAGCTGGGTGGGGGAAGAACGCAGCTGGGTGGGGGAAGAACGCAGCTGAAGAACGCAGCTGGGGTGGGGGAAGAACGCAGCTGGGTGGGGGAAGAACGCAGCTGGGTGGGGGAAGAACGCAGCATGGGTGGGGGAAGAACGCAGCTGGGTGGGGGAAGAACGCAGCTGGGTGGGGGAAGAACGCAGCTGGGTGGGGGAAGAACGCAGCTGGGTGGGGGAAGAACGCAGCTGGGTGGGGGAAGAACGCAGCTGGGAGGGGGAAGAACGCAGCTGGGTGGGGGAAGAACGCAGCTGGGTGGGGGGAAGAACGCAGCTGGGTGGGGGAAGAAACGCAGCTGGTGGGGGAAGAACGCAGCTGGGTGGGGGAAGAACGCAGCTGGGTGGGGGAAGAACGCAGCTGGGTGGGGGAAGAACGCAGCTGGGTGGGGGAAGAACGCAGCTGGGTGGGGGAAGAACGCAGCTGGGTGGGGGGAGAACGCAGCTGGGTGGGGGAAGAACGCAGCTGGTGGGGGAAGAACGCAGCTGGGTGGGGGAAGAACGCAGCTGGGTGGGGAAAGAACGCAGCTGGGTGGGGGAAGAACGCAGCTGGGTGGGGGAAGAACGCAGCTGGTGGGGGAAGAACGCAGCTGGGTGGGGGAAGAACGCAGCTGGGTGGGCGGAAGAATGCAGCTGGGTGGGGGAAGAACGCAGCTGGGGTGGGAGAAGAACGCAGCTGGGTGGGGGAAGAACGCAGCTGGGTGGGGGAAGAACGCAGCTGGGTGGGGGAAGAACGCAGCTGGGTGGGGGAAGAACGCAGCTGGGCGGGGGAAGAACGCAGCTGGGTGGGGGAAGAACGCAGCTGGGTGGGGGAAGAACGCAGCTGGGTGGGGGAAGAACGCAGCTGGGTGGGGGAAGAACGCAGCTGGGTGGGGGAAGAACGCAGCTGGGTGGGGGAAGAACGCAGCTGGGTGGGGGAAGAACGCAGCTGGGTGGGGGAAGAACGCAGCTGGGTGGGGGAAGAACGCAGCTGGGTGGGGGAAGAACGCAGCTGGGTGGGGGAAGAACGCAGCTGGGTGGGGGAAGAACGCAGCTGGGTGGGGGAAGAACGCAGCTGGGTGGGGGAAGAACGCAGCTGGGTGGGGGAAGAACGCAGCTGGGTGGGGGAAGAACGCAGCTGGGTGGGGGGGAGAACGCAGCTGGGTGGGGGAAGAACGCAGCTGGGTGGGGAAGAACGCAGCTGGGTGGGGGAAGAACGCAGCTGGGTGGGGGAAGAACGCAGCTGGGTGGGGGGGGAACGCAGCTGGGTGGGGGAAGAACGCAGCTGGGTGGGGGAAGAACGCAGCTGGGTGGGGGAAGAACGCAGCTGGGTGGGGGAAGAACGCAGCTGGGTGGGGGAAGAACGCAGCTGGGTGGGGGGGGAACGCAGCTGGGTGGGGGAAGAACGCAGCTGGGTGAGGGAAGAACGCAGCTGGGTGGGGGAAGAACGCAGCTGGGTGGGGGAAGAACGCAGCTGGGTGGGGAAGAACGCAGCTGGGTGGGGGGAAGAACGCAGCTGGGTGGGGGAAGAACGCAGCTGGGTGGGGGAAGAACGCAGCTGGGTGGGGGAAGAACGCAGCTGGGTGGGGGGGGGACGCAGCTGGGTGGGGGAAGAACGCAGCTGGGTGGGGGAAGAACGCAGCTGGGTGGGGGAAGAACGCAGCTGGGTGGGGGAAGAACGCAGCTGGGTGGGGGGAGAACGCAGCTGGGTGGGGGGGGAACGCAGCTGGGTGGGGGAAGAACGCAGCTGGGTGGGGAAGAACGCAGCTGGGTGGGGAAGAACGCAGCTGGAACCGCAGCTGGGTGGGGAAGAACGCAGCTGGGTGGGGGAAGAACGCAGCTGGGTGGGGGAAGAACGCAGCTGGGTGGGGGGGGAACGCAGCTGGGTGGGGGAAGAACGCAGCTGGTTGGGGGAAGAACGCAGCTGGGTGGGGGAAGAACGCAGCTGGGTGGGGGAAGAACGCAGCTGGGTGGGGGAAGAACGCAGCTGGGTGGGGGAAGAACGCAGCTGGGTGGGGGAAGAACGCAGCTGGGTGGCGGAAGAACGCAGCTGGGTGGGGGAAGAACGCAGCCGGGTGGGGGAAGAACGCAGCTGGGTGGGGGAAGAACGCAGCTGGGTGGGGGAAGAACGCAGCTGGGTGGGGGAAGAACGCAGCTGGGTGGGGGAAGAACGCAGCTGGGTGGGGGAAGAACGCAGCTGGGTGGGGGGGAGAACGGAGCTGGATGGGGGAAGAACGCAGCTGGGTGGGGAAGAACGCAGCTGGGTGGGGGAAGAACGCAGCTGGGTGGGGGAAGAACGCAGCTGGGTGGGGGGAGAACGCAGCTGGGTGGGGGGGGAACGCAGCTGGGTGGGGGAAGAACGCAGCTGGGTGGGGGAAGAACGCAGCTGGGTGGGGAAGAACGCAGCTGGGTGGGGGAAGAACGCAGCTGGGTGGGGGAAGAACGCAGCTGGGTGGGGGAAGAAACGCAGCTGGGTGGGGGAAGAACGCAGCTGGGTGGGGGGGGAACGCAGCTGGGTGGGGGAAGAACGCAGCTGGGTGGGGGAAGAACGCAGCTGGGTGGGGGAAGAACGCAGCTGGGTGGGGGAAGAACGCAGCTGGATGGGGAAAGAACGCAGCTGGGTGGGGGAAGAACGCAGCTGGGTGGGGGAAGAACGCAGCTGGGTGGGGGAAGAACGCAGCTGGGTGGGGGAAGAACGCAGCTGGGTGGGGGAAGAACGCAGCTGGGTGGGGGAAGAACGCAGCTGGGTGGGGGAAGAACGCAGCTGGGTGGGGGAAGAACGCAGCTGGGTGGGGGAAGAACGCAGCTGGGTGGGGGAAGAACGCAGCTGGGTGGGGGGAAGAACGCAGCTGGGTGGGGAAGAACGCAACTGGGTGGGGAAGAACGCAGCAGGGTGGGGGAAGAACGCAGCTGGGTGGGGGAAGAACGCAGCTGGGTGGGGGAAGAACGCAGCTGGG